TACAGGGGTTAAAATTTTCGTAAATCATTTTCTACGAGTGTCCATAAAAATATAATTCCTCGTTTAGAAATTTGGGAAATTGAGTTTTGGCGCTTGTTGTCTCTTTCACGTTCTACAGGCCTGTTAAAAAATGTTCATTGGTAGAAAATATTCAGGTGATCTTCGGGCAGAGACTGAGGTTTGCCTGTAAGTTACATCTGTGCGATTTCCCTATGGCCATCTTGTATTTACTGCAAAATACATATAATAAAGCTTGAGTATATACATATAATATACTTTATAATCGTAATATAGTAATATTTGCAATACAAGAAGAATAGTATGTTGCATAAAAAAATACTATCTCATGCCATATATTTCCCTACGCTATTGTCATTTGTATCAGTTTATTATATTCGTATAGTACTTTATAGGGCAACTATACAACTCTTAAGAATGAATTTTGATCAATTAGAAATAATTTCTTTAATGTTTTTAAAATAAAAGATTTATTACTTAAAATAATAGCCGCGACATCAGTGCCACATTTAACGAAAAATTTTACGTTTTAACTTATAAGGAGCTGGTCGCTCGAAAACATCTACCAACCATGGCCATTTTCTTTTTAATAGAACACTAGGACACGAACTTCAGCCAATTGTACACAATTGTCTTTTTCGTCCTGTAGTGGGATATACGTACAGTTATGCTGTTTATTATACAGACTATCGAATATTATCGAAGGCTACCGAAGACTAAAGCAGCCGAAAGTTGCCGACTATTGCCGAAGGTTACGCGCGGAACCAGCGTGAGTTTCTTGGTCTAGCACATTGTCAAAGCATCAATAGAATCTGATTACAATGGCTTAGGTTTCCGGCGGAGTTCAGTTGAGGTGAAATACGTATTGTATATCTATAGATTAATAAACTATAGATATACATATTCGTATTCCAATTCTCGTTTGACTGCAGTGCAAACTTATACCCAATGCTTACGAAGCATGTAATATAAACTGTAAGGAGTGTGATAAACGTTACCATACATACTTTGTTTGAAATATAATACATACTTTGTATACAATAAACGAATATAAACTCAGCAAACACAATATTACATTTAACGTACATGGTGGTTGTAATTTCCTTTATAGTTGTAAGTTGACGTTATCCATACGAGTGCAAAATTACAACTGATATGCACGTTAAATGTGCCTACTATTGTATTTGCTGGGAAATACTATGTGTTTGTTAGAGTTGCTACCTCATATGATATTCGTTACTTTAAACATTGCACCAGCCGGTATAATAGCGACAAATAATGGAAGTATATATATATCAATCTTTCTATTTTTTTTTATATACAGGGTGAATCACGAATCGTGATCAGTAGAGATTACTTTGTTATTAGCAGTCCGTTCGAAAATGTTTTTATCAGCTTTTTCATGGTTTTAAGAGAGCTTTAACGTGATAGTGAAAAATTACTGGTCAACTCTTTTTTTAATGTTTTTTCAAGGTTACCTTGAATTTTTTGTCTGTTAGAAGATTTCAAGACGAATTCGGCACATGTAAGGACATGACATTTTTTTCATCTGGTTCGAAAGAAAATTAAAAAACTTTGTATCACAAGGAGAATCACAGCTACGCCGTTATACGCATCCATTCTGTCGTCTTCAGTCGCCATCAGTGTGGAGGAGAGGCCATAAAGAATAGAAAACAATCTTTTGTTCAACGTCTACGCGAGAGCACTGCAGCTCGTGAACACTATTTTGAACATCGTTACAATTAAGATTGGTAAATTTTGACTTGTCAACAACATTGGTTGCGTAATAACGGCGTAGCTGTGATTCTCCTTGTGATACAAAGTTTTTTAATTTTCTTTCGAACCAGATGAAAAAAATATCATGTCCTTACATGTGCCGAATTCGTCTTGAAATCCTCTAACAGACAGGCGTAAAAAAATTATATGTTCGGTTGCAAAAAATTCAAGGTAACCTTGAAAAATCATTAAAAAAAGAGTTGACCAGTAATTTTTCACTATCACATTAAAGCTCTCTTAAAACCATGCAAAAGCTGATGAAAACACTTTCGATCGGACTGCTAATAACGATGTTCAAAATAGTGTTCACGAGCTGCAGTGCTCTCGCGTAGACGTTGAACAAAAGATTGTTTTCTATTCTTTATGGCCTCTCCTCCACACTGATGGCGACTGAAGACGACAGAATGGATGCGTATAACGGCGTAGCTGTGATTCTCCTTGTGATAAGGAGTATCTAGTTTTTTAATTTTCTTTCGAACCAGATGAAAAAAATATCATGTCCTTACATGTGCCGAATTCGTCTTGAAATCTTCTAACAGACAAAAAATTCAAGGTAACCTTGAAAAAACATTAAAAAATGAGTTGACCAGTAATTTTTCACTATCACGTTAAAGCTCTCTTGAAACCATGCAAAAGCTGATAAAAACATTTTCGATCGGACTGCTAATAACAAAGTAATCTCTACCGATCACGATTCGTGATTCACCCTGTATATGGCTGTACTAGTATCCAAAGCGATAATAAGTCAATGTTTCATGCGTGTAGATTTCTAAAATGTGTTGATAAATTCCTAAGCGTCAAAAAGGCATCCTCTTACGATGTCAAACTTGTTTTCGTGACTAAACTTGAGACTTTAAAACTACAAAAAGAGTAAATTTAAGGGGCTTTCTCTTTGACCGGGTCAAAAAATATTGATTTTTTAGGAATTTTTTCTCTGAAATTTAAGAAGATAGAAACTTAGAAATTGACCATCACATTCATCGGGGTTCGAATTTAGTACCTCCGTTATTTTCCAAAAACAAAAACATTCTAAAAAATCGTTACTTTTTGACCCGATCAATGAAGAGTACCGCCTTAAGGCTGTTTCCAGCAAGCTGATTGGTCAAATTTGACAACTGTTGCAAGATACACGATCAAATGACCAGTCAAATGCTTTTGCTCCTTTAACGCTATTTCCACTAAGCACAACGTAATACTATGCTGGTAATTGAAGAAAACATTTAAGTTAAGTTTACAAGAGTGCCTAAGTAAATGGATGCCGCTGGTAGAACTTTACTAAAGGATGTCTGTACCATATATATGCAGATATACAGGGTTATCCAAAATTAACATGCCAATTGATGATAGTTCTACCATATGAATCAAATAGATGGTTCGATTTCAGGTGATGCGTTAGACTTGAATAACCCTATAGTACAATACAAGCGTGAATAGCAACGGAGGGGTTCTGAGTGGCAGAGGGTTACTTGATTGTGCTGGAATACATTATCACTCACTAGTCATTCCAGTCCTTCACAGCAATTCTCGTAAATCGTGATGATAACGTATCGCCCTCGCAAACCTACCAATTATTACCAGACCTTTGTCTCGCTCGAATTTGGAAGGATATTGTCAATATAGGCTGTGTTCTAAAATTCACTAGTAGTATTATGAGTATCATCGTGTTTTGATGAAGACGCAACACAATAGTTGCTATACCATAATTCGTATGCATTCGATAGAGGACACAATGATTGCTTAGGGTGCTGACAGGAAGCTTTAGAATGTACTTAGACATAAGCTTTTATTCGTCTAACAAAGCTCATTCCATGGAGTAAGAATGAGAAGATACTATTCTTAAATTCATTTCATTTGACGATGTAAAATATTAAACGTATATTATATAAACGTTCAACTATGAGGATAAAATTTATACTCGATATATTGATTACTTTGAGTTTAATAGTTAGTTGATTAGTTGAGTTAGAATACAGAGAAGGAGAGGGGGAGAGGGTGGAGGGGGAGGGGAGAGAGAGAGAGAACAGAAGTAGTAATAATAGGACATTCGTCGGTATGCTTAGTTCACCGTGCAAGTTAGATGCAGGGGTTGACGAAGGTTAGGTCAGAGAGAGTACACAGGCTTTGACGAGGGCGGTGTATCCGATGGATAAAAAGTCCTGAAATTATGTTCTTGATGACGAGGGGCTAGCCATACTGGATTGTAAAGTTTAAAGGATCTAATCGCTTCGCGTAGTCTTTGAATGCAAAGTTAATAACGAGTATTTATGTATTTGCCGCACGTAATTGCCTGTACCGTGATGTATGGTCCTGTTACGGCTATTAACTCCACTCTGAAATGCGTGGACCCGCGGAATATGCGAGGGAGTGAAGTACTCCCTGAAGTACGCCGAGTACCAAAGCATAGAACGATCTTGATGCCAAATTATCAAACCACCTAGGCTGATTTCTACGCTATAACTGTGAATAGAACGGGTTATTACATTTTCCATGGCGCAGTCGAATTTTGTATGCCTTTAATATTACCGAGATTTTTCAGTCCTTCGCACTGATAGGTCGTATTGTTATTTTCATTAATTATTTATTGTAACGAGCGAGACAAATCACTGCACGTTTACTGCATCGTACTGTCGTTATTCAAAGTTGACCGTACGTTGTTTAATTACATCATTGTGATATGACATCATTGTGTCTGCAAACGTACTGTTTCATCCATATTCGGAGATTAATTTCTTCGGTGTCACATTGTCATTGCGAAAACGATACCACAATGTTGGTTAAACTAATAGAATTTGTCGTCAACTGCGCATAGGGAAAAAAACTATTGACATTGTACTGTTTATGAATTTCATAAATGAAAATTCAAGATTATCATCACGGGTTCCTAGAACAGTTGCCGTGGAAAGCGAAATGAACCAATCATGTATCGGTAATTCAGAATTGACAGAACCTTGAAAACCGTCAGTAGGTAATAATGAGTGATGGTAATATCGGTTTAATACATAACCTAACGTATAGTAACATACATATTATATGTTAGATATATGTATGCTTACTCAAACACGTAATAGATTATATTCTTCTTTGTCATGAGGAGGCAATATTAAATTTACATAAGAAAGATGAATGCATTGTGTTACATATTCTACTAGGAATTAACATAAATAAAAGGCATTTCTTAAAAATGGGCATAATAATCATCAGAGAAGTTCAGTACATTATGAATGTACTTTAATACGTATTGCATTAGTAATACTTTTTTTAATTGTTACATGATATACTGTGTTTCATATAAATCATGACAGGTGGCTCGACTATTCTTATCATTAGACGTGATATGCTTTAGCATGGTGTAACAAGATAAGGTGAGCTCTTGCGCACGAATTTTGTGAGAGCCAATAGAATCGTGACCTCACAATACGTCATTACGAGCGGAAAATTTAAAGTTCAAAATTGCAAACAGCGTCTATTAATTCAATTATTACAAATGCAGGTAATTACTTGCGTGCAAATGCTATTTGACCGAATAATGATTGACCATAGCATAAGGTCACTATAGAGGGTCAAGTCAAATCGTAAAAGCATCATCAGTGAACTCAATCGTTTTAATCTTCAAGGATTACACGTGACAATTTTTTGCCACTGCATATAAAATTTTGGATCGATAATCCGTCATAACGAAAAAAATGATTTGATGAAATCTCTATATCGACATGAATTTTAATGTAAATCTTTGCTGATTGGATAAATCGTAAGCTTAAGGCTAGATCTTCACACAGACGCCAGGGCTCAAACGCTGTACTTTGATTGGCGAATACCAGGCGGTAGGAGAGAAATTGTCATTCTTCACCCACCAAAATCCTGCGTTCAAGCGGAGGCGCCTGTATGAGGATCGAGCCTAAAACGAGACAAGGGAAAAGTAGAAAGAATCTCAAAGCATCGACAAGATGAAGACAACTGGTTAATTGGGTTTCATAATAAATAAGACGTTTTATACACGGACATAATCTGTATTTTATAATTCTGAATTGTAAATGTACATTTAATTATCGAGTTGTTCGATATACATATTTATATTGTGTTATTTGTCATTTTATGCATTTTCCTTTTCGTCACTGAATCACGGTTACGGTTAACATACATATTTCAGCCAATGCCATTGACTAATTTTTATCACCGGTCGAAAACAGTCAATGCAGTTGGCTGAAATTTAATAACCGCAAGCGTGGTTCAATTACGGAATATACTCTTATGCCCTTTTTCTCCAACGTGGTTTAAGCCTGGTTCAATTTTTTAAATATAGTTTTAAGTTATGATAACCATAGTTTAAATTTATATTAAAATCGGAGGAAAGGGACATTAGGCCTGCTTTCTTCAACGTGATCTAATGCATAAACTCCGTAGTTTATGCATTGAACAGCATCGGAAAAAACGGGCATTAATGATTACGATGATTGAATATCCAATAGTGATATGGTTAAAAATGAGAACTCACCATAATTTAAATTAACCTCTTTAATACCCAACGACGCACACCACTGTTTTCCAATTTCTGGATCGTTTGGGGACCGAAAAATTTAATTTTTAATTTTTTCATTTCTTTAGTACGATTTCTGCAAGCTCTTACAGCGTAAATGGGTATTTTATTATTATTAGAAAAACCACATCAAAACTGCGATAAATGCTTATGTAACATACAATGATCATACCAACCACTATATTATGTCGTCATCTAAGGTCTGCGCAAAGCATACCAAAACGTATCATAGAAACGAGCACATTACATCATCTGCCTTAATGTGTATGGTACTGTCCTATCCATTGCAATGTACTGCCCTTGAGAGATTCATGTAAAGGTTAATTTCCTAATGAGTTTCCCTGACATTTAAAGGAATGTTTTGGATCGGTGTACGGTGCTTGTGGTCTTCAAGATATGTAGATTTATGATTAAAATTTCAACACATGCTTTTAATTGAATTTATTAATGGTTAATAATAAATTATCTGAAAGACGTGTCACGTCATAAATAGTAAATAAGATGTCTATCTTACGTCTTGTCACTGCATACAAATGTTATGCAAAGAATGTAGTTATTAGCAGGTAACATTTACGTTTATTTTCTCTATGAACTTTTTATTTTTTATACTTATCCTTTTACATTCACAATTTTGAGGTTAGAAATATAATATCAACAAAAGATGTTTGTTTCAAAATATATTTGCCAGTCTGGAACATTGTATTTTACTTTATTGATATAGTATCGAGTAATTAATATGGAAATGATTCCATTGTGAGTGATAATTTTCCATTATTTAAAGTAGACGAGTGATATTCTAGATCATTGAAATAGATTTCTATAATCCATTTATGTATTTAAAAATTCTTTATTTAGTCATTATAGTGAATCTCAATATATCATTGCCATTTCTTACAAATATAGTTAAAAGAGAAGATTAAAGAATAAGTTTGTATCATCTGATTAAGTCAGATATTTATTACTATATATTATGGCAATAATATCAAAGGCATTGAATATTCTTTTTACAAAAAAATAATATTAATATTATATAATTTCAGAGATAGGTGCTTTCCATACTCTCTAAAGCCAAGAAATCATATACTTAATAGAGTTAGAAGAGAGTTTAGTGTAACTCTTCGTAAGTTTACTAAAACACGAAATAATGAAACAAAAGTCTGGACATGTTTAATATTTGGTCTGGGGGGATTTGGAGTAGTAACAACTTTTTTTTCAAAATTATATACCAATCGTGCAATATGTGAGAGAAACCGAACAATTGGATCCGTAAAGTCTGATAATCAGGAACAGCCTTTTAAATGGCGAGCGTTTTCAAGATATCTTTATCCACACTTTTGGGAGTTATTAATTGCTATAACAGTAAGTTTTTTCAGAAAACATTATCTAAAGTTTTAGTTTACATGTGTATATAAATACAATTTTCTGTTATACAGAGTGCATTCATAGTTGCTATTTTGAATATATGGATACCACAATGCGTTGGAGGGGTGGTTAATGTAATAGCAACATTTGCTCGAAAGGGTTCAAGTAATGGCTTCAATGATGATTCCATGATCAACATTCTAAAGCAGCTGTCTGAACCTGCATTTAAGTTGGCATGCATGTATGTAGCTCAAGTATGTAAATGATACAATATTAAATATTCAACTTTAAATAACAATGAGAACATTTATTGCACTTTGTTTATATGTATATATGCCTGCTTGCATAGTATAACGTCGTAAGCAATTTGCATTTTCTTATCGTATCATCAGTCAGAGAATTTCAAATAAACATTTAAGTAGATGCTATAATGATAGTAAACGTTTTGGTGACTTCAATACTTTACTTTAAATAGCTATAACAAAAATGGAAATAACTAAAATTCTATTGGATTAACTAAAATTATAACATTCACTGATGCACATTGATGAAAAAAAAAGATAAAGCTTCTGTATAAAAATGAATGTTTTTATAATTATAGCATATCAATTTTGTAATCAATATATTGATTTTCTTGCACACTGTACGTGAGATTATAAATGATTGGTGTTAATTATATTTAAGTAAACAAATATCTACATCCAAAACTATTTTTGATTATAGGAGAATGTTTCACAGTATTTATAACGCCAGAAATATAAAATATTGTACTTGAATTATTTTACGTATTTAATCAATTTCATGTATATTTATAACTAATATAAAATGATTGTTCAAGCAGCTTACAGTATCAAAACTTTGCTTTCACGATATAAAAATATTATGTAGGATGTTTTTGAATTCGTTATGGTTTCTATAATACAATATTTTTGATAACTGTAGTTTATTTGATGTAATTGCATGCACCAAAAAAATGAACTTTGAGCAGTAAACAACAATTTTTTCGTGGAAAAAAATTGCAATTTATTTGTTTTACTTTTATAAACGTGTAGTTTAAATTGAAATAAATAAGCGAAACACCTAATTCTTAGTACAAACTACCATACTGTATACATATGTTCAGAATAATTTTTTTTACAGGCTGTTTTTTCTTTCGTGTATATTTATACGCTTTCTGGAGTTGGGGAGAGAATTGCAATGAGGCTTCGGCAAAATTTATTTAAATCAATAATTATGCAAGACATAGCCTTTTTCGATAAAAATCGCACCGGAGAAATAGTTAATCGATTAACTAGTGACATACAGGATTTTAAGAGTGCATTCAAGATGTGTATTTCACAAGGATTAAGGTGCATGACACAGATAGTGGGTTGTGTCATTTCTATAACAGTGATATCACCACAGCTCACTGGTTTTATGGTAATTTGCGTGCCAACAGTGATACTTGTCGGCACGATTCTTGGCAGCAGTTTGAGAAAATTATCAAAAGATGCCCAAAATCAAACTGCAAAGTCAACAGCCGTGTGTGAAGAAGCAATTAGCAACATACGTACGGTAATCTCTTCTACCACTGACGTCACTGGTACACTGAATACTCTTATATTATTATACTTTGTTCATTTGGAAATGGAAATCCAATATACGTAGTTTATACTCTTAATTATTTAGCGAATTAAAAAAAAAATCATATTTCCACAGGTTCGACCTGCGTTATTTGGTTATAAGAGTAACAACTCTATTATAGAATCATTATATAAAACTAGTTTTTATTACAATGCAAATTAAAAGAAATATGTAACATGTCAGCTAATATTAGTAATCCTTTGCCAATAAGATATTTAAATAATTCTGATTTCAGATACCTTTGTTTATTATATTGACTAAAATGCTATTATAATATCTGTCGCCATGATTAAAAGGTATATGCTTTCTTGATTTAGGTACGAGCCTTTGCTGCTGAAGAGAGAGAAATTGAAATGTTTTCTCACGAGATTGAATTGGCTTCGCAGCTACAGGAACAATTGGGGCTTGGTATTGGTCTCTTTCAAGCAGGAACTAATTTGTTTCTTAATGGAATTGTACTTTCTACGTTATACTTTGGTGGGCACTTAATTTCCACTGGTCAATTAAGCTCAGGAGATTTGATGGCTTTTCTGATGGCCACTCAAACCATACAAAGATCCCTTACGCAATTGTCCTTGTTATTTGGCACCTATGTCAGAGGTATAAGTGCTGGTTCGAGAGTATTTGAGGTAAATTCTACATATGTGTGTCTTATCTCATTATCTGTTCCTCTATCAATTTTTATTTCTTCTCTATAACATACATATTTACACATTTCCTACTACGATTAGTTACTTATTAGTTATATCCAACTTTTCTTATAATTGATGCAGCAAAATATTTAACTAAATGTTTCTGTACAGTATCTAGAGTTGCAACCAACATCGCTAATGGTTGGTGGCGAAATAATCAAAGATCGATCCTTCCGTGGGAATATAGTTTTCAAAGACGTAACATTCAGCTATCCCACCAGAACAGATCATCCAATTTTAAAAGATTTTAATTTAAATATTCCTGCTGGAAAAATGATTGCTATTGTCGGTTCAAGTGGAAACGGAAAATCAACTGTAGCTGCATTACTTGAAAGGTATATATATAATTGTATTGTTTCATCGTTAAACGCAAAATATAAGTGTAGCATATAAAAATGATCATTTTAATATAACATATTATTTTTAGGCTGTACGATATTGATAAGGGTGCTATTACGATCGACGGTATAGACATCAGAACTTTAAATTCTAGTTATTTGCGGGGTGATGTTTTAGGCTATATTAATCAAGAACCTATACTCTTTGCAACTAGTGTTATGGAGAATATCAGATATGGGAAACCTGATGCTACAGATGAAGAGGTAAATTTATTATATATCTTTGATCTTGCCCTTTTCAACCAAAATTTTGGCATGTAGCAATGTTTTTATTAATTCCTAAATTATCTATTTCATTCCAAAGTAGTACTTGTAACTTTTGTGTATTAATGTTATCAATTACAGTCATACCCCGAAGTTATGTTGTAATTGACTCCGTGATCGACGATGTTAGCCACAAGGACGTAATTCGAGAAAAAATTCTTTGTTGTATAACGTCGTAATAAAATAGGAGGTTGGTTTTAAACAATTAATCTTACCAATAACGATCTTGGCACAGATGAGTCCATTGTCAAAGCGATAGTAGAGTTAAGGATAAAAGTAAACAGAATATAAAATTACAATTTTTTAAATGTAAGAAAATGAAATTATGCAGAGTTAAAGTGGTTCGGTAATAATAATCATAATAGTAATGGGGAAGCATGGGTTAAACAGGGAGTAAAAGAAAGATTCCAAAATTTTAAGTTAAAAAATATATGGGTGATAAACAATATAAGATAACCACAACATTCGAGTCCAAAATTATTATATTATACTGTACGAAAAATGAAGATATTGAATTTTGATGTTATTCATTTTTATACATAGGTTGAGTATATCTCATAGGGTAGGGATGAAAAGGGGGTAGAATTTGGAACCGAAACTTCCTTTTCAATTGTAGAATTTTATCACTCATTAAGAAGTTATTAACGTTTGAAGTTGACCAATCACAGTGCGGCTCCGCTTCGCGAATCGATTGTATTCAACTCAATATTCAATAATCAACTTAACATATTTATTATTCTGAAACTTCAATCGTTAATAATTTCTTAATGAGTGGTAAAATTCTACACCCTCTTCAGCCTCGAGAGGAAATTCACCAATGCCGGGACACCCTGTATAGTGAAAATTGACACGCTTAGACTTTTTATATCTCAAAAACAGTACGGTAAATGATATTCAAATTTTGCATAGGCGAAGATTTTGGTGTTGTCGATTATATACAAAAAATGCACAATTTTATAATTTTAACTTGGATTATGTATTATCACCGAATCTCTTTAGTTGACATATCACTTCTACTCGCGCGTAAAAATATTTTCAATCAGAGCACTCGGGTATATATGTATTCGTAGGGTACGCGTTCAAACATATTTGCGCGTTTTGATACGGAGTGTTTGGAAAGAGCGAAAAGTAGATCAGCCGAACAATTGAACTACGAAATGACGACGTAAGTCGGGGGATGGCTGTATTAACTGCAAGTGCATATTAAAATGAAATCATCCATCTATAATTATCTAGTCAACATGTAAATCGCAAAGTCATCATAAAAATGTCTAAAAGACAACTTCTGACGTCTTAAAAGTGACTTTTGGATAGTATGTGTTGTCTTGGTAAATACTTGAGTCAATAATAGTACTATAAATTACATGTCATATTGTGCATCGCACTGCAAAAGGAAAACGCAATAAATTCGAATCAACCGACGGCTGTAATGCGATATGTTACCTGCTCTTTATGGTACTTTAAAAATGCCTGATGAAAGTAATATTTAATTAGATGTCATGTCTCTTTTTTTTCATTTTGAGATGCGTAATAATTTCAGCCAATCAACAATATTAGAGTCTATTAAAAAATATTAAGATAATGCTAATATTTCTAAAGAAATGGTTGCTGCAAAAAATGCATTTTGCTTATTTTGCACAATTTTTATATAAAACATTTATCTATAGGAATACAAATTCCTAATAGCTACCAGTGACGCTCAGATAAACTGCTCTGTGTTTTATGAAATTAGAGTAGTGTCACATCTCCTGCTTTATATTGTACACATTTTAATCTATGTATTTGCTTAGGTAATGGAATCAGCAAAAGAAGCAAATGCTCATGAATTTATTATGAACTTCCCAAATGGCTATGATACTCTTGTTGGTGAAAAAGGTGCACAGCTTTCCGGTGGGCAGAAACAAAGAGTCGCCATTGCCAGAACATTGCTGAAGAAACCATCTATACTGATTCTGGATGAAGCTACTAGGTGAGCAATTGAACAAAAACGTATATATCAATTGTGCACATTTGACATATTTTCTTTTTGAAAACGTGTCTTTGTGCTGCTCTTGAGTTTCTGTAAAATTTACAGTTTATGTGTAACGTATTATACAATCGTGTCTTTGAGTCGTCAAGCATTAAATTCATACAACTTATCTGACATTGAATCTGCGTAATGTCAAATACTTACCTGATGCACTTCTGCCACAACAAAGTTTAGTTTTAAAGTACAGTCAGAGATATTATGGTTTATATAATACGTGCTAGTCAGTTAATTTATAATATGATAATATCACGTTATCATGATTTTATTTTGCAATTGATATGATAGTCAGGAACATGTTGATTGGATGCAACGAAGAAAAATGCTTAGCTATAAAAAGTATGATCTATCTTTGAAAAGTCGACGATGATTATAATTTAATTTAATTTATAAAATCACTTGCAGCGCTCTGGACTACAAAAGCGAAAGAGTCGTCCAAAAAGCATTGGAGAATGCAGCAAAAGGCCGTACTGTTTTAGTTATAGCCCATCGATTAAGTACCGTTAAAGCTGCTGATATCATAGTAGTGTTACAAAACGGTGTTATTGTGGAGGTAAGATGATTTTTTTGGTAAAATCTGAAATAACGAATTGCTTTCCACTATTAAATATATAATATACTTATCGCGAATCCTATATTTCCAACATTTTATATTCAAGCCTGCTCAATAGTCCTAGCAAACATAAACTATCGATTACATATGAGCGCTGATACAATTTGCTACTCAGACATTTAATAGTTTTAAGACAACTACTTTATGTAACTTATATTTGCTCCAGTAAAAAATTATAACATTGATGATATTTAACTGTTACTTTGTATTTGCTGGAGATATTAACCCATTGAGTGTCAAAAAAAAATGTGGCCAAAAGTAGTCTTGATAGTAAAATTATCAAATTATTTTAGGTATTAATTCTAAAGGGTTTTTCGGGTTGTTGAATCCAGTTCTTTGATTCAAATTTTCGAATTCAAAATGGTGGCTCCAGTATGGTAGCAATCAGTTTAGAAAGCTGTCAGATTATTGAAAATAAATGTTATCGTTTTCATGCAAATCAAATTTTTCTTCATGTTTTCGAATATGATAATTTTGACATCAGATATGAATTCATCAACCCCGAAGAGTGTTAGATAACATGTTTCGTGAAAATAGCACTAATAGATAACACTCTTTTTTAAAAAGACGTCTGTAGATAGACGTCCTTGCCACTGGCAGTCTAAAGTTCTGCAGACGTCCCTGACACTCAAGGGGTTAATGAAGCCTTATGACATTATTCCTTATTCGATGTGCTGAGTAGTAAATCCTAATAAGACCTTTGTTACACGGTGTTGGTATTTATGTATGTCTATACACATATACTAATTTTATGTACATTTCTGAATACTTGTTCAGGACTATCACCACAAGTCGACGAAGTTACATTATTCGTTGCAATTTGTTACCCAGTATTATTTATTTTACGTATTATGCGGATAATGCTGCGTTACGCTCATCTTCATCACATAAATAGTTAAAAGATGAATATGTATTCTGTGGAACCATGAACTGATAACTCCCGTCTAATTAGTTTGTAATTTTGTAAACTATGTATGATGTTATAAAACGGAATCGTAGTCCTCGCCAAGCTTTTATAAAACTAGGTTCCCTCGCGGTTGCTGTGAATCGTAGCAATGTGGTCGGGATTCTTGTTCAGCCAGTACTTACATCGCGCGGTGTGAAAATCTAAACAAAAATATAAATATTAATATCAAAAGTCCGAAAAATACTCTGTTTTTATATTATGTATGTGGGTGTGTATGTACAATACATACACTTCCAACAAGATCCCCTGTATATACAGGGTGTCCCTAAATTGCCTTACTAACGGGGTACAGCGATGTACGAGGCGCATTGCTGATCATGAAAATGTTCTTCTTTTTGTTGGGAAGTGCTTAGTTTTCAAGCTAGAGCCGCTTAAAGTTGGTTATTCAGAGCGAGGTATCGGCAGAAACGTAGATATGCGTTCTCTGAGTTTTCTGCCCTTGATTTTAATTATTAGAAGGCAACAAAAATGTACACTTCTGTCTTCGATTCAGAAAGATCAGCATGTTTTAAACACGTTATATGTATTTATATTATTTAGAATCAATTTTTTTTTTCCTTATCTCATCGTATGCTCAGATACATTTATATATACGATCGGTTGTAATAATAGTTTCTTTATTACTGTTATAGAGTTTTGCAAACAAAAGTAGTAGTAATATTAAATAATTTATTTTTTGAACAAAGATTTTATTTTGTGTAGATGGGTACACATACTGAACTGATTAAAAGGAAGGGGTCGTACTACAACTTGATTAATCAACAAGGAAAAAATAACGAGAATCAGCATAATTGATAGAAGCCAGAAAGAAACTGTGACATTGAATACCTAATCACGAAGCGAATCATACAAACAAGCAATATTTCAACGATTCATCGATGAAATTCTTAGATACATTTGTTATAAATTATAAGACATCTTGTATGTATATATGAGTAATAAACACAAGGTGTTTGGAATAATAAAATGTATATAAATGCCAATGTCATGTTACTGCTAAGTCATTTCTGGAATTATGTCTGAATATGGGAATAAAGTTTAGCATGCGACTAGCTATGTTGAAGGTTGGATGCAATAAAAACAAAAATGTATGTTTCATTAATGCAGATCGATAAGTAGTCACACGTTAGAGGTCATTCTGTGTCGACCCCGGAGGAGTCACAATATAAAGATTTTCTGCAAATTATGAGACGATAGATAACCATATCGAATCGAGAAAATCTGTTATTTTTTGTTTAAACATGTTTAATAATTTATTGCTCTAAAAGATTTCAAGGTACCAAATTTTTCAAGACTTTAAATATAATCAAAAATCGTTTCCAAAAGGAAAAATCAGGAACCTCTCGTCGAGACAGTATGACCCCTAGCGTATGTACTAAAGTACACATGTATACGATTTTATGAATTTATTGATGACATCCTTTTCATCGGTGTTACTCTGCTTAGTGCAATGGACTGGAGAGTAGATTTTGTAATCTCAAAATGAAATATAATAATTTATAAGAATGTAACAACAAATTATCAGGCAAACGCATTGCACGTAGATTCTTGCAAGCTGCACTGTTATTTGAATGATACATTTATGCGGAATAATTGTGAAATAAATAAATGAGATGAATGCATTTTTTTGACATGAAAGGTGATCGTGCAAATATTTTGCATTCACCTCATTCCTTTATTTCGCAATTAATTCTTATGAAAGTATCATTTTAGTAATTATGGATCTTATACAAATCTGTCTCCATCTGAGTTCGATGAAGATAATTCATCAATTTCATGTAATTAACGATTTTCCTAATATACATTCAAGATGGCCGTTTGCATTTTCCAGTTCCCTTAATTACTTTTATGTGAGTTGGACATAACACAATATTAAAGTATACTATAGAAGCTAGTCAAAAATATCACAATGCTTACCAAATTTAATAATAAAGCGTAGAGACTTTATTTTTAATAAATCTTTTCAGGATTATGACATGGTGGATTGCCCGAAATTCCTGAAACTGAAAAATAATTATTTTTACATTGAGAGATCAAATAGTTAAATTATGTGAGGGGAAGATTCTATTTCGAATAATTATTTACGAAAATCATACATTAGTCAGGTATCAATTGCACAAGACCAATTTTATACAAATACAGTGAATGAGATTTCTTATAGAAAGGTAGTCATATATTGAACTATTTAGCATTTTAATATAGAGAAATGTTAGGGAGTAAGGGAGAAAGAATCGAAGAGGTTACATACATGGATGAGTTGTCATATACTGTTCAAAAAATTTACTAGAGAATTACAAATCCGAACTAGAAATTTTTATTCATATACCGTACCATAAATATCTTATCCATTTGAATTAGATATTAAAAGTAGCATTACTGAAAAATAATGAAGATATTTGTATATTTACTGATACAAGGTACTAGAAATGTACTATGTCCTCGTAATATTTTATGAATAAGATGCAAGAAAATTAGTAGACGTTCTGTACTTTTTTTATTTCCTATGCCGTTTATAAATTTCGAATACATCTCGAGTAAAATTTATTGACCCTCTGTTGAACCCAAAAAGCCGAAGTTGCAATATTAAAACAAAATTTTTTAATATATATAATATTTCGTCTAGAGTGTCATTTACTATCTTGGGCTTGTTGTTAGATTGGTCTATTTAATTATTTCTTCAAATTACATTCTCCATCCTACTCAGGATTCAAACCAGCGACCGAACGACTAAAACCGTATGCACGCTATCCACTACGCTATGGACTACTTGCCAATTCTTTGTAAGTAAATAAGATATGAGATGCATCGGGTGCAAAAATAGAGAAATTAACTATTCAATTATTTTGATTACACTGTTCAAGCGCTCAATGCGTCCCTTTGAATAGACAAAGGCAATCTTCTTTGATAAGCAGCACTATTTTTATTGTGTTTTTCTCGATCTAACAACCATATTACAATCCGAATAACGTAATATTCAGTGGCAATCCGTAATTTTACTACGCGAATTTCGAATTTCACCAGGTGAGCTTAAATTTTTCCAATACAAGCGTACTAATAATTCCATGCGTCTTTGAAGAAAAAACCATTATGCTGTGATTTTGTAGTATGCATCCCACAGAAATTTCATTTAGACTCGTACCCAGTCTTTCAAGTATTGTATCTGAAAATTCGGTAGGAGTGAACTTGTAATTTTTATATAAATGTTCAAGTTCTGCATATAAATTTTCGAACGGGTCAATGAATATTAGAAACCGGATTTTAATTTTACAATTTTTTTATGTAGCAACCGAAATGTTAAACAGGTTACGTGAATTTTCAGAAAACTTTAAAAAATGTATCATCAAGTACATATAAATTTACCCTACTATTATTAATTTTGTAATGCGTATTATACAAATGATTATTTCGCATACCGGTTTTGTAAATTTCGCACTACTTGTTACAGTAAATTAACAATTGTTTTTACAGTGTACGGACGAGGCTGGAACCGAGGAAATTTCGCACCCGAAAATATTGTAATTAGCTATACAAGAACAATTCCCAGTAATATTTTGTATACCTGATACAAGTAAATCTATTCCTGCGTGTTTTTTTTATTTCATCCGTGACTCTATGCAACATTACGATAAGCGTTGGATAGGGAACGGTAAAGATCAGTTCCTCTATGGGCTGCCATGACTGTATTGTAGGCTTTATATTCGAGATTCAGTTATATTTTATATATTTTCTGAAAAATAATTAAAAAATTCGCCTTGATGGGGAAAAACATTTTATGGGAAGACACTAATTTTATACATTCAGTGAAAAGATTTTTGGGTGAGAAGCTTCCTCGCTTGCAGCCTTGTCCGTGTGACAACTCAGCCATAGAAATAGCTTTTTCTGTTCTCCCATAATGCTCAAGTAAGAAAGAGAAAAGCTTCCATGAAAATAAATACGATGTACACAATAATAGGCTATGGGAGCGTAAGCCATAAATTCCCTAGCTCATTTAATTTAGCGAGGTAGATGTGATTTTCGTACTTACATTCATCCATTTCTGTTCGATCGCCACAGTAACCCCCATCTTCACTGAAAAACTCTCCATCAGGGCAAGACCATTCTACTTTCTCTAAATCATACTGTTTATCCATTACAGCACATGTGTAATATTTGTCACAATGGTAAGGATCCGCAAAGAATCCAGCCTCTGTACACTGACCAGCTGGATGAGGAAGAGGATTTTTTATATTTGCAGCAATATCACAACACAATGTTTCAGGATTATAGATCAAATCTCCCGAACAAATACTCGAAGATAATATTAGGCCCTCGGATGATTGGGAACACGTGTAATATGTTCGCAAGTCTACAGTATCGCGGAAAGTACCAACTCCAGTACAGTTCCGGAACTCACTCAAACCATCTGAACATTCAGGAACATTAAGCGCATAATCGCATCTTCCTAACTGCTGATTAAACCGTAAACAAGAGGGACAAGACATGATTTTACTTTTCACGAAACCACCATTATAATCTGGATCACACACGTAGTATAAAGAGCAGCTATTCGGTACCCTGAAAGCACCTACACTAGAACACACATCTGTAATTAGAAAAAAAAAAGAACACTTGTCAGATCCAGGAAGGAATTCCTTACAGCAAAACGGATTCAATTACGGCAAAATAATATATATCAATGAATAAAAGATAATTAATAATACTTACCGTCGCTAGCGCTAGATTCTTCCGTGGATAAAGAAGAAGGGTTGGTGCTAGCACTAGATTGTTCCGTGGATGAAGCAGAAGGACTGGTGCTATCACTCATTGATTCCGCCGCTGCGTTGGAGGAGCTTGAGCTAGTGCTAGATTGTTCCGTCGATGTATCAGTAGCGCTAGATTGTTCCGTGGATGAAGCAGAAGGACTGGTGCTATCACTCATTGATTCCGCCGCTGCGTTGGAGGAGCTTGAGCTAGTGCTAGATTGTTCCGTCGATGTATCAGTAGCGCTAGATTGTTCCGTGGATGAAGCAGAAGGACTGGTGCTATCACTCATTGATTCCGCCGCTGCGTTGGAGGAGCTTGAGCTAGTGCTAGATTGTTCCGTCGATGTATCAGTAGCGCTAGATTGTTCCGTGGATGAAGCAGAAGGACTGGTGCTATCACTCATTGATTCCGCCGCTGCGTTGGAGGAGCTTGAGCTAGTGCTAGATTGTTCCGTCGATGTATCAGTAGCGCTAGATTGTTCCGTGGATGAAGCAGAAGGACTGGTGCTATCACTCATTGATTCCGCCGCTGCGTTGGAGGAGCTTGAGCTAGTGCTAGATTGTTCCGTCGATGTATCAGTAGCGCTAGATTGTTCCGTGGATGAAGCAGAAGGACTGGTGCTATCACTCATTGATTCCGCCGCTGCGTTGGAGGAGCTTGAGCTAGTGCTAGATTGTTCCGTCGATGTATCAGTAGCGCTAGATTGTTCCGTGGATGAAGCAGAAGGACTGGTGCTATCACTCATTGATTCCGCCGCTGCGTTGGAGGAGCTTGAGCTAGTGCTAGATTGTTCCGTCGATGTATCAGTAGCGCTAGATTGTTCCGTGGATGAAGCAGAAGGACTGGTGCTATCACTCATTGATTCCGCCGCTGCGTTGGAGGAGCTTGAGCTAGTGCTAGATTGTTCCGTCGATGTGTCAGTAGCGCTAGATTGTTCCGTGGATGAAGCAGAAGGACTAGTGCTATCGCTCATTGATTCCGCCGCTTCGTTGGAGGAGCTTGCGCTAGTGCTAGATTGTTCCGTCGATGTGTCAGTACCTCTAGATTGTTCCGTGGATGAAGCAGAAGGACTAGTGCTATCGCTCATTGATTCCGCCGCTTCGTTGGAGGAGCTTGCGCTAGTGCTAGATTGTTCCGTCGATGTGTCAGTACCTCTAGATTGTTCCGTGGATGAAGCAGAAGGACTAGTGCTATCGCTCATTGATTCCGCCGCTTCGTTGGAGGAGCTTGCGCTAGTGCTAGATTGTTCCGTCGATGTGTCAGTACCTCTAGATTGTTCCGTGGATGAAGCAGAAGGACTAGTGCTATCGCTCATTGATTCCGCCGCTGCGTTGGAGGAGCTTGCGCTAGTGCTAGATTGTTCCGTCGATGTGTCAGTACCTCTAGATTGTTCCGTGGATGAAGCAGAAGGACTAGTGCTATCGCTCATTGATTCCGCCGCTTCGTTGGAGGAGCTTGCGCTAGTGCTAGATTGTTCCGTCGATGTGTCAGTACCTCTAGATTGTTCCGTGGATGAAGCAGAAGGACTAGTGCTATCGCTCATTGATTCCGCCGCTTCGTTGGAGGAGCTTGCGCTAGTGCTAGATTGTTCCGTCGATGTGTCAGTACCTCTAGATTGTTCCGTGGATGAAGCAGAAGGACTAGTGCTATCGCTCATTGATTCCGCCGCTTCGTTGGAGGAGCTTGCGCTAGTGCTAGATTGTTCCGTCGATGTGTCAGTACCTCTAGATTGTTCCGTGGATGAAGCAGAAGGACTAGTGCTATCGCTCATTGATTCCGCCGCTTCGTTGGAGGAGCTTGCGCTAGTGCTAGATTGTTCCGTCGATGTGTCAGTACCTCTAGATTGTTCCGTGGATGAAGCAGAAGGACTAGTGCTATCGCTCATTGATTCCGCCGCTTCGTTGGAGGAGCTTGCGCTAGTGCTAGATTGTTCCGTCGATGTGTCAGTACCTCTAGATTGTTCCGTGGATGAAGCAGAAGGACTAGTGCTATCGCTCATTGATTCCGCCGCTTCGTTGGAGGAGCTTGCGCTAGTGCTAGATTGTTCCGTCGATGTGTCAGTACCTCTAGATTGTTCCGTGGATGAAACAGAAGGACTGGTGCTAGCGCTAGATTGTTCTGTGGAAGAACCAGAAGGACTAGTGCTATCGCTCATTGATTCCGCCGCTGCGTTGGAGGAGCTTGCGCTAGTGCTAGATTGTTCCGTCGATGTGTCAGTAGCGCTAGATTGTTCCGGGGATGAAGCAGAAGGACTGGTGCTAGCGCTAGATTGTTCCGTGGACGAACCAGAAGGACTAGTGCTATCGCTCATTGATTCCGCCGCTGCGTTGGAGGAGCTTGCGCTAGTGCTAGATTGTTCCGTCGATGTGTCAGTAGCGCTAGATTGTTCCGGGGATGAAGCAGAAGGACTGGTGCTAGCGCTAGATTGTTCCGTGGACGAACCAGAAGGACTAGTGCTATCGCTCATTGATTCCGCCGCTGCGTTGGAGGAGCTTGCGCTAGTGCTAGATTGTTCCGTCGATGTGTCAGTAGCGCTAGATTGTTCCGGGGATGAAGCAGAAGGACTGGTGCTAGCGCTAGATTGTTCCGTGGACGAACCAGAAGGACTAGTGCTATCGCTCATTGATTCCGCCGCTGCGTTGGAGGAGCTTGCGCTAGTGCTAGATTGTTCCGTCGATGTGTCAGTAGCGCTAGATTGTTCCGGGGATGAAGCAGAAGGACTGGTGCTAGCGCTAGATTGTTCCGTGGACGAACCAGAAGGACTAGTGCTATCGCTCATTGATTCCGCCGCTGCGTTGGAGGAGCTTGCGCTAGTGCTAGATTGTTCCGTCGATGTGTCAGTAGCGCTAGATTGTTCCGGGGATGAAGCAGAAGGACTGGTGCTAGCGCTAGATTGTTCCGTGGACGAACCAGAAGGACTAGTGCTATCGCTCATTGATTCCGCCGCTGCGTTGGAGGAGCTTGCGCTAGTGCTAGATTGTTCCGTCGATGTGTCAGTAGCGCTAGATTGTTCCGGGGATGAAGCAGAAGGACTGGTGCTAGCGCTAGATTGTTCCGTGGACGAACCAGAAGGACTAGTGCTATCGCTCATTGATTCCGCCGCTGCGTTGGAGGAGCTTGCGCTAGTGCTAGATTGTTCCGTCGATGTGTCAGTAGCGCTAGATTGTTCCGGGGATGAAGCAGAAGGACTGGTGCTAGCGCTAGATTGTTCCGTGGACGAACCAGAAGGACTAGTGCTATCGCTCATTGATTCCGCCGCTGCGTTGGAGGAGCTTGCGCTAGTGCTAGATTGTTCCGTCGATGTGTCAGTAGCGCTAGATTGTTCCGGGGATGAAGCAGAAGGACTGGTGCTAGCGCTAGATTGTTCCGTGGACGAACCAGAAGGACTAGTGCTATCGCTCATTGATTCCGCCGCTGCGTTGGAGGAGCTTGCGCTAGTGCTAGATTGTTCCGTCGATGTGTCAGTAGCGCTAGATTGTTCCGGGGATGAAGCAGAAGGACTGGTGCTAGCGCTAGATTGTTCCGTGGACGAACCAGAAGGACTAGTGCTATCGCTCATTGATTCCGCCGCTGCGTTGGAGGAGCTTGCGCTAGTGCTAGATTGTTCCGTCGATGTGTCAGTAGCGCTAGATTGTTCCGGGGATGAAGCAGAAGGACTGGTGCTAGCGCTAGATTGTTCCGTGGACGAACCAGAAGGACTAGTGCTATCGCTCATTGATTCCGCCGCTGCGTTGGAGGAGCTTGCGCTAGTGCTAGATTGTTCCGTCGATGTGTCAGTAGCGCTAGATTGTTCCGGGGATGAAGCAGAAGGACTGGTGCTAGCGCTAGATTGTTCCGTGGACGAACCAGAAGGACTAGTGCTATCGCTCATTGATTCCGCCGCTGCGTTGGAGGAGCTTGCGCTAGTGCTAGATTGTTCCGTCGATGTGTCAGTAGCGCTAGATTGTTCCGGGGATGAAGCAGAAGGACTGGTGCTAGCGCTAGATTGTTCCGTGGACGAACCAGAAGGACTAGTGCTATCGCTCATTGATTCCGCCGCTGCGTTGGAGGAGCTTGCGCTAGTGCTAGATTGTTCCGTCGATGTGTCAGTAGCGCTAGATTGTTCCGGGGATGAAGCAGAAGGACTGGTGCTAGCGCTAGATTGTTCCGTGGACGAACCAGAAGGACTAGTGCTATCGCTCATTGATTCCGCCGCTGCGTTGGAGGAGCTTGCGCTAGTGCTAGATTGTTCCGTCGATGTGTCAGTAGCGCTAGATTGTTCCGGGGATGAAGCAGAAGGACTGGTGCTAGCGCTAGATTGTTCCGTGGACGAACCAGAAGGACTAGTGCTATCGCTCATTGATTCCGCCGCTGCGTTGGAGGAGCTTGCGCTAGTGCTAGATTGTTCCGTCGATGTGTCAGTAGCGCTAGATTGTTCCGGGGATGAAGCAGAAGGACTGGTGCTAGCGCTAGATTGTTCCGTGGACGAACCAGAAGGACTAGTGCTATCGCTCATTGATTCCGCCGCTGCGTTGGAGGAGCTTGCGCTAGTGCTAGATTGTTCCGTCGATGTGTCAGAAGCGCTAGATTGTTCCGTGGATGAAGCAGAAGGACTAGTGCTATCACTCATTGATTCCCCCGATGCATTGGAAGAGCTGGCGCTAGTGCTAGATGAGCCCGTAGAAGCGTCAGAAGAGCTCGTCCTAGCGCTGGTTGGTTCCATTAATGAAACGGATGTGCTGGAGTCGGTGGTTGATGAGTTAGTTGATGGCTCGGGAAAGCTGGTTGATGTGCTGGTTCTCAAAGATTCACTGCTTGTTGTTTCCTTTTGATTACATGTTTCTCTGTATGTGCATATTCTAGTAATTGGATCGTAGCCAGTTGGTGGTGGACATGCGTGAACAGTTTGATACATCTCCTGACAATGTATATTACACATGTAAAATAACGTGCAGTTGTTCGGTACTGGAAATCTTCCTAGTTTTTTGCATTCTGGTAGCTCTAAATGATTGTATTCTGGTTGCTGAGTTGTTGTACTCGTTGTTGCCTTATGTGTTTCATTATTAATAGTGCATCTTCTCAGTCGTGTGTCAAAATGCTGCGTTGATGTGCATGAGGCCATTATGACTTTATGCTTTGTACAGACATAGTAACGGTTTGGATCGAATGTATGTGGTTTGATTGTGGTTCTAGCACAGTTCTGTTTTGTATTCTCATATTCGAATGTACCTCCGCCAGGAATCCCGATGCACCGACCTTCAGTTTCATCGTAATATTGTCTTGTATTAGGGCATGTCGAAGTTGTTCCATATGGTGAGCGACGGTTACGTTGCTTTCGTGGAGGATATGGGGAGTCGCTGTAGATGCTGCCTACGTACTGTAAATTGGTGTTCATATATTTTTAGAATATTTATTTATGGCTTGAATTTTCTATAAGTTAATACTTCCATTAAAATTAATACTAAATGGATATCAACGTAGCGTCATAGTAATATTTTTATCGGTGCAGTAGGGTAATGATATCAAATAGCTAATGCCGGCCATACACGCTACGGTCTACCTGAGAGGTCTACCTGAACAGGTATGCCTGCGCCGGTAGGCCGGAGTGTGTGTTGGAATAGACCTGTGCAGTTTTTTAACCTGTACAGGCGACCGGTGCAAGATCGAAAATCAATTTTTTCGAGTGACACTGTACGATGTACCGGTGCGTGTGTGCAATTGTGCATGTACTCCGGTCGCCTGCGCAGGTCGCGTCAGTTGTTTCTTCACCAAAGCCAGTGCGTCCTCGTTCGATGCCATCGCGAAAAAACTGAAGACCGCTCCGGTACACCGGAGACATATCCGACGTCCGGTTTACCTGCACAGGCATACCTGTGCAGGTACACCTTTCCGGTAGACCGTATCATATATGGCCGGCATAATTAAATTTGATTCCATCATCTATCACCTGACATTATATAGTGCAAACTTAAGGATAAGCAAGGTAGTATAGAAATATTGAGTAAATCATTTTAATTATCTTAAACCTTATTAAGGTCAATAAAAAAATTGTATAATGGATTTGATGTAAGCAAATTAATTATTGAATTTGTAAATTAAATTTGTAGGTGGCACAGAAAGTTTTCGTGATTCATTATGAATGTATAGGAGTTACAAAATAATGCTGCGTATCTTTTTTCCATATAACTATCACGATATATAAATAATTTGTTTGCGTTGCAACGAATATGTTATGGTCACAGAAAATACTTATTTATTTATTTCATATTTTATTTTTGATAGTTTAATGAGTCTTTCACTTTATTCAACATACCGAATTATTTAGTGCATCAACTATGTTGAACAATTGTAACATTAAAGGATAGCATTTTAAAGGATTGCAGTTGTTATTTAAGTTGCACGTTTTCTCAAAGTTATACAGTATAATCCGTTTACTATGGCTCCGCCTATATTGACCAACCGCTTAATATGACGTAATTGCAGTGCGAAGTTTAGTTTTCATATAAACTACTGTGAAATAAAGTTCGGATACAATGACTTCGCTTATAGTGACATATCGCTTATTATGACCTATTTTTAAGAAATTATGTCCGGTATATATAGTGACCGACATGATTTCTAAAATTTTCATTCGATTCCACGACCCCTCCCGCCTTTCCCCTGTGCCAGCAACGTCCGGGGCGTTCGTGGCGCGTTAAATTCATAATTCAATATGAATTATACATTATCATTTTTCTCCGAGAGCCCGACACGTAGTAATGCGAGAACGCTCAAGCGACGACTTTCTTAGAATCCTATTTCCCTAATCGCCTTAATGTTCGCTTATAACGAGAGAGTACTGTAAATATTAATAACGACACGTGTGCAATTTGAAGCCGGCCCGTTGTTCGATTTTCTCTAAAAACATTCCCAAATTATTCCTATTTTTCACTGCTGCAAACCAGAGACCCCGTTTTAAAAGAGCACACGTACGTACGACAAAATATGAATAATTACATAAATATTAGTACTCAACTAAAGAAAAAATTAAATAATTTATCATAAGATTCCACTTAGTAATGAATGCGCGTATGTACTTACATCTCCGAGTACAGCAGGTAGGACGGCGCAAAAGATAAATACGCCTCCCAGGAACATGTATTTTTGGGGGCTCTTCATAGTTGAACGTCGAACTCAAACTGAGACTAACTAATAATTATACCTCACCTGCTGCACTTGTAATTTTTATGCGATAACAAAATCACGGTATTATCGTGTCACGAGTTCAGGATTCGTGTATCAGGAACGTGCTCAAAAGTAAACAAAACATGCGCCTCATGATTACTTGACATCAATGTTTTTCAAGAAACGTTCAATAAATGGCATTTCAATTTTGCATAGCTTAAAACTTAAGCTAATTAACTTATACATCAAGTTTAGATATTTATCTAGGAATATGAATTTATACGGTTAATGAAATTTAAAATTGCACACTTATCAGTTTCAATTTTATTAATATTGCATTATGGTCATATATAAAACTGTGTTCACTAGGATCCACATAAAATTTGCACTGAAATTACATAGCTCATCGTCATTCCACTTGATTGTGAAATTATTTCGTTTATTTTGCCCTTTATAAATTAAAGATGTAAATATTTGAAATAAAATTTTGTTTCTTCCAAATATTTAAATATTTTGACTTCTGAACTCTTCAGCGAAGAGTGGCAATGCCCCTTCTAGTACTATGTAGACGGATTCATCTATAATATTCGTGTGAGCTAAGCCAAGTAAATGTATAGATCTTTCATCAAAATGCTGTTGATTTGTTTAACATGGCAAAATTGTATGTCTTAATATGTACGTGGCATTAATAGATTTAAATGTATTTAATATTTCAATATCAGTTCTATTTGTACTATGAGTAACACGTAAAAAAGAACTAATGCCATCTTCAAATCAAAATTCAGACTGTGCCCATAATGGTCCAAAAACGAAGTATAAAATGCGCATTGTCAAATAATGACATTGAATGGACATATATTTTTCAATACCATATTGCTCACTGAATTCAGTAATAATTGAATTCTCTGATGATGAATTTTGATTTTAGCAAGATTTGAATGGCACACACATGTAGCAAATAATTTTGACCCTTTGAGATCTTTTACATGTTTCATTTCATCTTTAATTGCACTTGATGCCTGTGAGAGCATTTTTTCATCGTTCGCATTGAACGATTTGAATCAGAAGGTGGGTATACACGTGCGAATCCTCGTCCAACTACGCAAATTTGACCTTTGTGCTCGCAAAATGAAAATTCATAGTTAGCATTAAATTGCATCAAGTTGTGGATAGATGCTCTTGCGAGACAATCCAAAGTAGCAGTGAGTCCCATTACAACACTGCTCATTACTGTACATCGCTTATGCAAAAGGTTTCAAAAAAGTATTCATAGTTGGTTTGGAATGTAGGCTATAATAGAGGTGACATATGAATTAAAATGTTCAACTTCTTGGAGGCACATTTAAAATTTTGCATTTGCACGGGCCAAAGTTTCGCATTAACCTGTTTCTAAGTGGAATTCCATCCGTATTACAAAGAAGACATAAATCATAGTCGACCTTTATAACTGTGAGTTTAAATTTTTTGTATCGACAACCACCAGTAATGTCGTATGTAAAACTCTCGTCATATCGCTACTGCAGTATTTCTTTTGTTTATCTATGAAACTGTGCAAATTTCTTTTTTTCGAAAGCATGAGTTACCAGCGACGATAAATTTATTGTACTCGACAAAAATTCCATCGACTCTTTCGCTTTTATAAGCTTTACATGGTTCAACTGGTTGTTCGGTTGTTCACTCACCCATGTAAAATGAGCAAACTTCACAGAATCGATACTTTTTTGTAACATCGAAACTCCATGGAAGTAATTCATTAATGAGTTTGCAAAAGTGATGTTTTGTAAGAGGGATGTTATTAGGCTGCTGTAGTAAGATGTTTAGTAACTCTAAAAGATCAGCGAGCGTTTTTTTATTATATAGAGAGTTTTTCAAGGAGAATCCAAGAATATGGTGAACAGATTCACCTACTGTTATAAAATCATCATTGTTATACGGCATTTTATGAATCCGTGATCGTGATTCCTGCTGTTTTTCCTTATTCTTTTTGCAGCGCGGCTCGGAACGGGCGTCGGTACTGAAATTCAGTGGCTATTCATTTCCGGGGTGAAAATGTCCTGTATAAAATTCAAATTCGTCTAAATTAATTTAGAGAGGACATGTCGTATTACTGAAATCCGCATACATACTAGTGCCAGATAGCACTAATAATATATCGTCAATGTATAATAATATTAATTTTTAATGGTAAGAATAATTATTTATTGAAGTAAAACTATTAGGAAATTCAAGAAACCAGTACTTGTGTACATAACATACTTCTACGTCTACAAGATCAGAATTCAACATTTTCGGCTTCCGTTGAATTTCGCCACCGACGAAGTGTATAACGCGGAATCGAAATTATTCAGATATTAAAAACGTAATAAATAAAAGCAATGACAACACTAGTTATTATATTGTATATACTAATTATTGTGTAGTACCTCCCAATCCTTTGTGCAAACTTTATATCGCTTCATAGTTACAAATATACAGAACATCTATGCATTTAATAAATAAATTAGCTGAAAAGATTATGATGATTCATTCAGTGTACTTGTAGGCACCCACTGATTTTTTAAATCACATTATTAAAAATCGAAAAATCAGACTGCCCGAAAAAGAAATGCACGAAAAATGTATAGTTTGCAAACAATCGAAAAAAAAGAAAACATGGTGATGAATGTACTAAAGTTGCAAAATTTTCAAAATCACATATTTTCAAGAAACTTATAGAAAATTCGCCTGAATCTAACAAGAGAGTGATCTGTTTACCTAAAGACAGTACATCTAAAACAACACAGGTATGAAATATGGAAATCGTTTAAATTTTAATAATTCAATACTACCTACAGTCTATCGTATAAATATTCAGATACTATGGCATTTTCTGTATAAATTGTTATATATCGTAGATTTTGGAATCAAACAGACATTCCTTTTTGGATGCAAAAACTATTTTTAATAAACTAAGTTTTACGTTACGCTAGACGACAAACAAAAGCACATTCAGAATGAGTTTTAAAAAAAACAAAGAGCATGAAATTCCGATTTCCGAGATTTACAAAAATGGCTACGATAGAGTAAGATATAGAAATTACGAATGAAAAAAAAAGCAGAAAAATTCGTATCCATTCCCACCTGGGATTTAGCGCATAGATTATTTTCTAATGTCCGATAAATGTACGAAGGAGGCTGAACAATTCTCCAGCATTCTGACGTATACGAATTCTTAGGATTAAAGATAGTAAACGTCCACTGCTAATGTACGCATAAGAATGTATTTAGAATAGTATTTCAAAAGAATGTATAGGGGAAAAAATATCATTTTCATAATAAGAAGCAGGTATGGATATCATCTAAAGCTTTTGTTCGAGATACTTTTCTATATATACTCTATATGTGCAATATAAAAATCTATAAAAAGCTTTTTTTGAATACAAAATTGAGTCACGTTTTTATAAATCGTAAGTCAAATGAGGCGAATATTAGTCATCTAAGGGAAAACGTATACGAAAATGATACAAATACATCAAAATACCAAATTTGTAAACAAATAGCAACATTTTGTTATTTAATAAAAATTTCGAACAAAGTTGTAGTTACTTGTTTATTGAATAACCTATATTCTTATCAACTTAGTATATTGATCATAATTCATATATTTTCGTTAGGACTTCAGATAAGCACTTAAATTATCTACAGATGGGATTATCTTAATTAATTTTGTATTTCATTATTTAATTGCTTTACTTATTTTAGAAAATTTTTAATGATAATATTTAAATGATATTCGAGAAAACGTAAATTTATATTTCATAATATGTGTGATCACTGATCATACATATGTATATGACACCATACCTACCAGATACGCATATGGGACTAATCTAGATCATGTAGGATTATATAAGTTTTATGTCTATTCACATATGGTTTATGTCTATTCATATCTGCTTAAAATATTATCCTACATGAGCATATAAAGTCATGCATAATTTTGTTCTTCTAATATCTAATCCTAACACATAGCTGCAATCTCAATTCTTAGGTATCTTTCTGCGTAGCACACTGACTGGTGTCGAACGTTCTTGCCAATATACGATACTGATTCAGTTTGCAAATAGTGGAATTATATCGACTCTTAAACTCTTATTCTTAAATCAATTTCAGCTACAAATGTATATTGAAACAAAGCTGCCAGATCAAAAAATGTGAACTCTTTTTGTCCGCAATTTTCAACAAACAATAGAAAAGGAGACTTTTTTACAGTCCGGTTATATTCGCCAGACGGACAGAATCAGACTTTTTTTCGATAATAATAATTATTATCATAAATAATAAATAAAATTAATAATATTCTTTCTTGTATAATTAAGAAATTTTTTAAATTAAATTTTTCATTATAATAAGAATGTGAATCTGTCCCATGTTTTGTATTGTCAATAAACACATTGTTGTTACTACTATTTAAAAAAATTTATAACTTGATATATTACACTGATTCTCTCCTATCTCATCGTAATATTAATTCATCAATGATGCGGATAAAAACAGATCAAAAAATCACTGTTCGGATAAAAATGTTACTTTTTTTATCCTTTTCTTTGAAAATGTGTATTATTTTTGTCCGGTAGACTTTATATTATACTGTTTTTGGCTGAATAGTCCATTCGTGAATTAATAATTTGATGAGCAATGATAAATCATTTAAAAATTTGAATTTACACAATTTTTGAAAATATTTCTTAATTAATCAAGAAAGGTTATTATGCAAATTATATTCTTGCGTAAGAGCTAGTTACTATTTTCCATAATCAAAATAATCTTTTATTTATATAAAAGACAAAAATCTAAAGAAAAAGTCTAATTGTGTGCGTTTGGCGGATGTAATCAGACTATGAAGAAATCTTTTCTACAATTTCTTGAAAATCGCGGACAAAAACATAAATATTATAGGATAAGTTTATTATTTTTAATGAAAGGCAAAAAACCGTCGAAGATTTTTGACCTGAATAACGAAACACTTAATATATCCACCTCCTACCTATCTCTAATCTGGCACTTGGCTCTATAGAACACAAAGCCAATAAGGATCAAGAAGAAGAAGAATACCTATCTTTAATGTGCGCAATGCTCATCGCATTTCGATATAACGATACTGCCTCGTATTGTGGCACGCTGTGAACAAATGTGACACAATTATTGATATTTTGACTAGCTGTCACACATAGTAGCACAAACGTCTGACGTCACGCCTCAATATCTACAAGTAACTGACAATGAGTGAAGCATAATCATACTCGCAATATTCGCAGTTATATACTTCGAACTCATAAATCTTATTGTTAGCTATTTTGCTGTCTCGGCTGCAATCTTGAGTTGCGAAGACTCAAAAGAAAATACGAGTCCCATAGTGTAAATACTAAATGGAATTTTGGAATTTCTCAGTATAGTCCGTCCAGGAGTTCAATGTGTTTTTTTCTTACAATGCTTAATAATGCGATGCTTAATAAATCAGATGTGGCTCTACGTACAATTTCTTGTTAAGAAGGTTTCGCACTGAAATATATTTTGTTCTACTATTTTCATGATTTATGGAAAGCCATGTGTGACTTGCTAAGGATTGCATTGTTTTCAAACTGTCAAACGAAATACATTGAACCCATGGACCGATTATATTTCAAAGCGTAGCCCATGTCTAAGGGTCGTATTCACAATCAGTCTCTCGTTATAAGCACGTAAGAATAAATAAGTTTTTAAATTGATAACTTATACAGATGTTTCGGACAAGGGTTGCGAAACAGTAGAAGAAAACAATAAGATGAATAGTTATTAGAATCGAAGTCAGATAAGATGGCATATAAATTATAAAAAACTTTTTACAGTTAAGATAGCTTTGGGAAAATTGATCATAATTCAAGGAACTGATATGTCTTACGTAATTTCTATCAAGTTTTCGCAGAATATCGCACGAAAAAGAAACATAACGATAATACTGTAATTCAGACTTTTGTAGCGTCATCCAGGATGCATAACACAGGGGTAAGCTGTATTTCGCAATCCGCACGTGCTCGTATTTGTTTGTGTGCATATATCGGTAAGTCATTATAAGAGGTGTTCGATGTTACCGTCGTTAACAGCAATGCATAACTCCAGTGCACAGCGAAAATTCGTAACGACAGAACGAACCATTTGAGGAGGTATGTTCATGTTAAGGAGGTTTATATGATGACACTTATGATGCGTCTCTACAAGTCTCGTTGATTATTGATTCTTTTAATATTCTAATATAAAAAATGTAGGAATAAGCAAAAAATCGAAAGATATAAAATATAAGCAGCCCGTATTATTTTCTTAAGGGAACTCCGGACCTTTTATTTACCACGCGAGTAAAATGTAAATGAAAATCGTAAATAACAGAATTTTTATAGAAATATTTTCCCAAAGTGGAGTTCACCGCACATTCTGCAATAATAACAATCATTTTGACACCATCTTCGTAATTATTAAACAAACTGATAGAATAATCCGATCGAAAATTTTACGCATTTTTCAAATTTACATCGAAATTTCTGGATCGGATTATTCTTTCAGTTTTGGGTTAATTATTGCAAAAGTAGTGTCTAAATGACTGTTAATTTTGAAAAATATGTGCTGAACTCTATTTTGTAATAATAACTTCTATAAAAATCCTGTTATTTACGACTTTCATTTGCATTTTTATATTATTATTTTTAGATTATTTATCAAAATTGCTGTGAATAGGCTGCAGGTAGTATTTGTTTGAACAGCACTTCGCGCTGCCAATTCTCACTCAGCCAGTCTTGCAAAGAATAAGAAAATTAATAGGTTTAAAATAATCGAAGAGTCCAATGTCCCCCCAGTCCATGTAACTTTTTGGTTCGACGAGTCAATTTTCATTTATTTTATTTCTTTACACATAATTACTTTTTAGTGTAATTGTAATCAAAATAAGTCAATATAGTAAGTTGCAGTGTTCGAATGTGTTTCTACGCACTGATATGAACAATAACGCCCTATACTATGCAATAGGAAGAAACTTGGGCTTTTTTATATTTGACAGACACAAGTCGTAATAAGTGTTCAGGTTCAGATTATTAATTTAGGTATCCCATCATCACAACTAGACACCTGGCCGTGTAAAATGCGATGCAACTTTTTCCCACGTTATGCAGACCAGAGAACGATATTCGTCTGTCAAGTCGACTCTCATTTAATTTGCGACGAGTATCAGATAAAGATGTGCCTAATCTGCTCCGGGCAGGATTAAGTTAAACTTTGTGTCGTTCTTCTTTCCACATTGATTACTAAAATCATAGTTTTCTATATACATAAAAATAAAATGGTCAAATCAACATCGACATTATTACTCTTTCCCTTTTCTCTTAGAAAAGCCTTTCAAAATTTCGTCATTTTCATTTCTCTGAATAGTTCCATTTTTTATAATTAATCTGGCTGCATTTTGTATTAAAGATTTCAAAATACGACCAATTTTTTGTCTTCCGTCCAACCGAAAAAAAATTAATAGTAACTGGGCCTATTGCATATTTCTATTTTCGAGCGTATTGGAAGTTTTTAAGCAGCGCAACATTTATATTAAAGGTTTCAATAATTTCAAAATTGCACGAAGATTTTAATTATAGTCTATCTACAGTTTTCAAATATATCCAATTTTTTAAAATTTAATGATCAGGGCGAAAATAGTACGAAAATACGTACACTCCGCGTATCTAAAAAAAGAAGATAGAGCCGAAGATTTAAGTGAAAGTTTATATAATATTCTTCGAGAAAATAGCAATGCAAATCTCAGTCATTTTAATAAACGAAAGTAATGACCTAGTTCCACCTTCCTCTTTATTAAATATGTAATAGAAACCTATTGCATTATCAAAATTGCTTCCAAATGGATTGCATTTATCAGAATAGAATATTTTTATTTCTTGCAACAACAATAACCAAAAAAATGCTGATTACTTTTTTTAAGTAACTGTTTTGGGACGTAGAGAACTTCACTACACCATTCAGGTATATTTTTCTATTACTGGTTAGGAACTCAAGCCTTTCCTATTAAGAGTTACATTTGCAAAATAATATTATATCAATGACGTAGAATAAAAATTCGCATCTATACATATAAATTTCTTATATAAAACCTCATAAACCAATATGAAAAAACTTCTTTGTTTTTTTAAGTACTAAGATTGATTCATTTACAGTAATACCCAGCAAACACATTTGCCACATTTTTGTAACTTGTACATAGTTGCTGTAGCGTGTCTTCATTAATAAATGGATGCTTTCACATGAATTATATCTATATATAGCGATTTACTGGAGCCGTTTCTTAAGATGCTTACTTACTGATAGATTCACCCTACGACAAAGTACAATTTATGTACAATAGTTAAGTTGTAGCTGCCACAAAAATGTGTTTCCTGGGTAACCAGTTAAAATGGGTTTGAAGGTAGCAAACGTTCAATTTCGATCTCATATACCACCATAGCATGTAACGTTAAATTTGTTCAGAACCACTACTTGATAATTAAGCGTACTTGTAACATAGAAAGCTAATTTCACGGAATAATGAGGAACTTTATCTATTGATTGTGAAATTCCTTTTTTAAGCAAAATGCTGAATACACAAGAAGTTAAGTTAAGGAATACTTTAATCAGCAAACACAAAATAACAAGAAGTACATACCTGTAATATTACAATTTACTATTTAGGGATATAATAGTTATGTTCACCAAGTCTTTTATAACTATTATATCCTTGCGTAGGAAATCCTAACATTTCTGATACGTAGATGTTGTTTTAAATGTACTGGGTATTTAAATATTATAATATTATGAGGACACGAGATTAAACTCCCTCGTCAAGCACTGATTTTTCTTGAAAAAACCAAGGATTGTTTTCCATCAACTTTTTCACATTCAGGAGATGATCCAAGTTCATCTTGACGATAGCCAGAACACCTATGGATGCTTAGGACATCCTTGAGAAGTGAAATCTGCCCTCCTTGCTGGAAAATTGTTGACGATACAACACAAACCTCTGCGCCAAAGTAGCCTAGGCTGGTTTTTGAATCTCACATCAATATAAGGAATGTTCTAAAATTAATCACTATGTAATGTTTATTCGACAATGTGCATAAAACATTCTCAGCATTTATTTTATTTATAAAATTTATACAGCGATTGGACTGTGATATACATATATGTACAATGTTCATATATTTACATAATAAATCCTTTTACTAGAATTGTTCAACATCTTGTTATTTTAGGCTATATTAAGATTTCCTTAGTGATATTTCCGTTTTGTTATCTCCTTCATGAAATTTATTAACAACAACCTTCGCTAGCCAGAAATACAAGCTCGAACCAAATTCATAGACAAAAAAGGTACAATTAAGAATAATTTTCTTACATTATATACATATTTATCGTCTTTGATCTCAATAACCAAAATATGTTGAGATATATATGATTTACTATCAAATATTTTAAGAGGACTCCAGACCTCTTATTTACCACATGAGATAAATGTAAACGAAAATCACACTTAACAAGATTTTTACAGATTCTTTCCCAACGGGGAGTTGAGAGAACAATCTGTAAAGTTAATACTCATTTTGACACCAGTTTCGCAATAATTAACTCAAAACTGGATGAATCAGTCAGGTACAAGGAACAGTAATGACGATTCCCTCTCTTTCGCTACTCTGGCAAATGAAAGAGATCTGTCTCTTCACTTACCTATGTAAGCTGGGTAAATGAAAGCTAGGCGAAGTCTCACTGTATTGCGAAAGTAGTATCAAAATGAGTACATTCTTTTATGCAGCAACAGTAACAGTGATTATAATATAATATTCACTGCGTAACAGAATGCACTTAATGATTGACTTGATAATGACTTAACCCTTACAGAATATGCGTTCAACTCCGCTTTGTGAAAGAATCACTGTGAAAAACGTGTTATTTACGATTTTCGTTTGCATTCTACTTGCATAAGAAATTCGTATAAGAAAGACCCCTTAAGAAACAAGTATCATTGTTCTTTTATTTTCTGACTTATATTGAAGAATCATCATAATGCGAAGAATGGAAGTCGAGTGTATTTTCATCAAATTTATGCGTGAATCAAGTTTATGATGTTATGAGATACAAATCTCTTTTATTATTAATATTTAAATATTATTAAATTAGGATTTATGTAAAATTAGGATTTATAATATGTATACCTTCCAGTGGACAATTGCATTTATAAATTTAAGAAAACCAAGCGATATAGCTTATGCAGATTTATAAAAGTTTGGCAATTAACAAATGTTTTGCATTCTTTGCGAAATGTATGAATTTATAGGGATCTAACATTCAGTGTCATATATTATACAAAATTCTGATCACCAAAATATAATAACTTTATCACTTTTCAAAACACTATATGTGAAATAAAAGACAATAAACAGTAATCAGAAAATGTAACTGATGAAGTAATTAAATATACTCAAAATCCAACCTGTTGTGTTTCACCAATCAGACTGAGGTACTCTGTATGTAAAATTATTACTACTAATTACTGTAATCCCTGCTCCATAATATGGCATAACGTATTGTGATCCATCAGCAGGTCCAACAATTTGCGTTGCTATAAGTATTACATCACAAAACTGACCGAGGAATAGAAACCCTAACGTGCTTAATTTAAGCAACCCAAGGGCAGGGTATCCAAGGTAAAATCTGTCGGCTCCAAACATCCCAAGGAAAATTGACAACAGTAATGATGTCTCGAAGGAATAGCCATTGCTGTAAGGGAAGAATTTGTTTAATAAAATAACTAAAAATTAAGTTTTATCAATAAGAAAAAATTAGTTAATATACATACGTCCATTTGCAGGGAATATCCTTTTTGAAGGTATTATTTTTTGTTTCAATACAAATAATTCCATCTGCTGCTTGACATATAACTGAGAAAGAAATACAGATGAAAAATAATGAGTCTAAAATATTATTACATGGTTTCTATAGCTCAGTGCAGAGCTTAATAATTGGCGGTATAAAAAGAATATAAATATTGTATTCAAAGAGCATTCTGAAATAACATTGTTACTACATTGAAATATAGAACATGTGATGTAAAATGCAGTAAACTTCAAAATGCTAATTAACTGTACAGAAATCATGCACTCAACTTTAAAGCACAATTCAACTGGAACATATAGAAATAGGGATCCATCTTATTAGGGACTTCTTGTGAAATTGTAATAGGATATTTTCATCAAGAACGTTATTCGAAGGTGCCCAAAAAATATAAAACCGATCAACAACAGTACATCATGTCTACTGATATTATTCAAATTATTTGTCTCTTCATAGGTTATGTTTGTATACACGATACTTCTAATCATAGATAAATTATAGTCATAGAAATATTATAGGAAAATATAAATCTTTTGCTTACTTTTGGCTTTATTTTCTTTTGTACAGCCTTTGGGCTGTTGAGTTTTTGGATCGATGAAGTCGTAGTCCGGGTGAGGACATATGTACTGTCCCATTCGGAGGTTATTGCAATCGATTTCATTAGGGTTGTCTGTCTGATCACTTAACGAAATCGTTATCATGAATACGAATACACTACAGAGACGCACCGATTTAATCATAATGTATCATTTTACAATATTCAACACTTGCTATCACGTATAACCTCGCTGAACGTCAATAATAACAAACTGCATCGTGGAACCGTGGAACTCACGGTGGAATTGGACCGTTTACTAACTGATACCAACACAGTATCAAACCCAATCAAACCCACTTCCTGGTCGAGACATATTGTGCTGCCATCAGTTGAGTTTATATTGACATTAAATCACGTTCCAGAGGAGACGTGGTAAAATCTTATTTACAAATCGTAAGTATGAATTTCAATCGGACGTAATAGTCAGATAAAATATTACCTTTCAAGATTTAGAGCAACTAATTTATATATAATTTATTTAATTTCATACATTCGGTGTTTTATATTAATAATCTACGTTATTAAATAATGCAATTGGAAGTACATAGAGGACTTTGTTAAAGATATTTAATGATATGAAATGAGTGATATAGTATTGTCATTGTATTACAATAAATATATTATAATAAATCCGTTAGTCATTTCAACTTTTGTACATTACTCTTTTTTTTTCATTGCTAGACAAAATGTTACACCCGAAAGGTGAAATATTAAAAAAAAAACAGCGTAGCGTCTACCGAATGACTTTTGCTATGCGAAATGGCGTCAACGTCGATGAAAGGCACACGGAAAACATATAGTTTTGAAGAACGAGAGATTCTTATGAACCTAATTAATAAGTACGACGCAGTGGAGGACAGGAAATCGGATCCTACGTCCATGTGTAAAAGGAAGTCGGCTTGGGCTCAATTAGCCGAAGAATATAATTCCATGGTTGGCCCAGAAGGGACTCGATCAGCCGTGCAATTAAGACGTTGCTGGGAAAACATGAAAGCTTGCAAGAGAAATCGAGAAGAGAGGAGTTCTCGGTAAACCGTAACAATTAACTAGTTTATTAATCCTTATCAAGTTTTTAATAATGCAACGTTTGTTTGCAACAGTATATATCCCATTCGTGAAACTGCTGTTGTAATACAACTTTGAAGGTTTTCCGAAATATTCAAAATATATGGTACATTAACTGTCGGTTTAGATTTGGATTTTAGCAGTTACATCTATGTTCCGTATATGCGTATGCAATTGTGGCGTAACCTCTTTATTACTTTGAGATCTGCCCTTAATATTATGATATATTTCTGAAAAAGGAAAAAAATTGGTACAATATTATTTAAACGCAGTTTTTGTTTATAGAAGTCATTTAAAGAGTTTTAATGATCTTTGCAGTGACCGTACTAGAGTTGTTGGACCATCTTGGGAGAATTGTAATTCTAACCAAACATCAACGGAAACTCCTTCAAGCAGCGGGAACATTGGACTTCCTCCAAACGTAGTTTTTGAACCCAAAGCGTCGGAACCTTTTACTCTTCAAGGAGTATCTGCGCCAAAGACTTCTAAGCTTGGCATAAAAAAGGAAATGCCATTACGAGATTCAGGCTGTCCGGATAGTCTGAACTCTTCGAGTTTTTTATCAGGGCTTCTTCAGCAGCCAGAGGAAGGAAGTAGCGGCAAGCAATTCATAGTAATTTCAGACCCTTTTGGAAATAATCGAGAAAGCTCCTCGTCCGTTGGCCCAAGAGATGATTGTAGTGACAGATTGATTACTGATCGCGAATCATCTGTCGAAGATAATCAGGGGGAAAAAGAAGAGCTTGCACGAAAAAAGCTGATAAACTCCAGAACATATCCTACCGACGTCATGATATCGCCTCAAATTCTTCAAGGAAAAACTCGTAGAAGCACTAAAAGTTCCCAAAGAGAAGAAGAGCTTCACGTACTTGCGCTTTCAGAAGCTCAGATGAAGGTCGATATTGCAGTTATGCAAAAGGAAGAGATTCGCGTGAAGCTCGAAGAAGCTCACTATCGGAAGGAAGAAGCTAGATTAAGAATGCTTTTCTTTACGTATAAACTTGACAGAATAAAGGAGGATTAATTGTTTTCTTTTTTTTTCAAAATTATTCAGAAGCAGTCATAAATATTTAGCAAGAGATACGTTTCTATTTTCCATAATATTATATTTATTTTTCATAAATACCAGTAGCAAATTAATACAAATGTTTTCTCTTTATATTAGTTTATACTTATTGGCTTCTCTTTATGAATAATGCAATTATAGTTAATGTTTCAATTAATTCCGAAATGGGGAGAATACTTGAAACATATTTCTCCATCTTTGTACCCGCATTTTACATTTTTACTGTTAAATGCACTTCTTTGTATTCGATGAACAGCAATGATAACGTAATTTTTCACCTAAAGTGTAAAGAAATCCGTAAAATAATTTCACAGTTTTGCTTTTGCGAGCTTTGGCGATTGCATTCTTGTTTTTATGTATTGAATACAAAATGTATTATTTTCGCCATAGATAACTTAATTATATTTATCCTAACATTTAATAACTTGTTTATGCTTTTTGAAAAAATTATGATATTTATAGGATAAATGAATTTTTGACCACCACACATTTCAATGAATAAAGCATTTATAAGATCTTTATTCGATACCTCAAACAACAATTATTATTACTGACGAATCATCTTCGCCTATAGTTCAAGTATTTTTTTTTTCTTAGAAAAGGGATCCTCCTCGTGTTATATTTTGTATTAAATATGATTACGACTATCATTTATTGGTCTAAGTAAGGCAGTGTGCGGATGTAGTGGATTACGAGACATAGAAACCAATTTAAATATTTTTGGAGAATTCTACAAAATTTGGAAACTTCAATATTACGATAAAGTCTTATCTATTGGCAGTTAGTAAATTCATTATAAACATTGGCAGTTGTAGCTGTCTGGATCAAGTAATCCTAACGAAGACCAATAAAAATAAGTACCTTAAGTTTATCGTTAATTACAAAAAGAATTTACCTGACTAAGCTACATCTCATAAATCGTATTAATTGACACTGATGCTATTCGCTTTTCGAGAAATATTTCAAAGTCTTCTTGGACACGTTTAATTTCTCGCATATTTCGATATTATGTTTCTCACCCTTCGTTGATAATAATAGAATGTTTCAACACCAAGGTCATTGTCGCAGTGTGCTATACAAGATGAAATTATTGAAGTCCAGAAATCAGTGGCCAATTGTGTGTAAATGTCAATTTATCAGCGAAGGGACCGATATCAAATATTACTCGTATTTTTTTTTAATATGGTAAACGTTCATTACATGAAATGAAAATTGTCATTACGCGCGGATTTTGGCTCATTCGTTGAGCAGTGCGCAATTTCAAAAAGCGATGGGTCGGTATAAATCGGCTCGCTGGGATCAAATCCGCTTCTTCGATTAGTTGCTAGACCAACAGCTCCTTCTAATGCACTGCCACTGCTCAAGCGTTGATTTATCACGTGGCTCAATGATCTCGAGATAGATCTATCAAATAAATATGTTTATTTTTATAATGAAATATAAGGTAAATGATATATGATTTCAAGCAAATTGATCTATGCATTAATTTTCAAATAACTTTATCGGCAAAGATTATCTTTTGTGCGCTCAGTTTGTCCTATTTTCAATCGTTATCGTACATTGTGAACTTGTATCCAAAACTTACGTGGATTGGAATGGCTTTTGTAGTCCAGATCTTAAAAATGAAAAATTATTTTGCACCCGAGTACTGTAAGCATCTTCAGGATTGGAGCTGTGATGTGATGTCTTATCGGCTCTTCGATTCTTCATAATCACTGAATAGGCATATTTCCTATAGAGTATTGAATATATTAAAATTATTTAATAGACTATTTTATAATTAAAAGTGAAAGAAACATTAAAAATAATTGTTAACATTTTTTCAAAATGTTTCAATAAACTTTGTCGTATATATTCGTTGCCCTTGTACAGGTGCTGCTTCATAATTTGATATAAAGGCCAATATATTGTAACGAAAATGAAATTTTCTTAGTAGGGACGATTCGGAAAAGTGTAGCAAGTGGCTGGCTTAATTCAGTAGTCAGAGCAGTCGACCGGTAATCGAAAAGTCCCGGGTTTGAAAACAAAAAAAATGGATAAATAGTTTTCAATGGCAGCTAAAGATATTACCGTACATAGTTCAGTGAGTTGAATTTCTAATAAATATGTGAATAAGCAATAATTTTGATACATTTTCACAATTATTGTTCGATCAGCCAGTGATCATTATTAAAACAATAAAGTAACCTTTGATTTGAGTTCTGGTATGATGTACCTGTTTTTTTTTTAATTTGTTCTATTTTTCTGGCCTACCCAGTACATAAAATATAATAATATTTTGTATGTCTCATCCCAAGTAGAATACCTGAAGTTGCCGCGATCGAAAACCAGCTAAAACTTCATACTATACCGAAGAATAATTCGTTCGGCAGATGCGATTATTATTACTCATTTTCGATCGCAGCAACTTCCGGTGTCCTACTTGGAATGGGACATACGGTATATTCCTTTCTCTGTTAATTAATTCGGAATTTTCTCTAAATTTTCTCACAGACACAAGAATGACTTTTCATTCGTTTGAACGAACGAAGTCAAAGTATTACATACTGTTGAATATTTCTTACCTGTAAACAATCATAGAAAGGACAACAACAGATGCCAGAAGTACCACAAGGCCACAAACTGCAATAACTAATCCATAGTATTCGTTTGGAGTGATGCAAACAGTCTCGACGACTTTTGTTTGTTTTTCGACAATATTCTCCTCAATCATATCCATGCGCGAGTCGAAAACCTATAAATGATTGAGAAGATCATTTTTTACACTGAGGTGGACGAATAAAGTAACAAAGAATCTCACATAATATAATATAATAACCTAACAATTTTAACGACTCTAATTGAGACTAGAGAGAGATTTTTTAATATTACAAATGACATATAACTTACCTCTATCATTTCTCGAACGTGCTCCTCTTCGTTCTCTTCCTCTTGCTTTTCCTCTTTTTGAACATCCTCATCGGTGCTTGTAGTATTCATTGTTGACGTTGAGACTGTCATATTTGCCACATCTTCATCAGATTCAATTAAAGTATCGTTGCCCACATCCCTTCGTTTCCTACCGAAGGACGGTTCGCTTCTTCCTGCACTTCCCGAACAGTAAGCTGGTTGACAGCCGTCTCGACAAGTACGAACTGTTGCCTCAAATACTAAGAAATTTGATTCCGGAATTTTAAAAGCGTTGAAGCGAGCTTCGAGACTATCGCCTTCGCGAAGACGATCCAGTCCAGGAAAAACAAAGTTGTCCACTGGGCAGCTAAAAAGTGAATTTCGGTCAATTATGAAATCAAATTATTATTTTTTATTATGCCTAATCTAAATGAACTGTTTTCATACCCATATCTGTCTATAAGCTGAACACTTCGTCCCGAATATGGATCTCTAGCTATAACGTTGGTTGCAAATATGTCCGTTACATAGTTGTACCTAAAAATAATAAAATTGCCAAAAGTCATTGTCGGCAGGCGATAAAAATGAGAAAATTAATAAATATTTACCCGTCTTGAGCTTCCAATCTGAAGGTCAGTGGATCTCCAACCGCTATGGTTGTCGTGGGTCGACCTTGATAAAGGATCAGCAAACGTACCCGAGAACTTAACGTATTTTCGGCTGGAAGATACTCGATCGGGATGGGTGACCCCGATCTACTGAAATTCAAGAGAGTCCAATTAGGTACCTATATGATTCATATGTGACCGAAAACTGGTTGTGATCAAATCGATTTAACTAAGCAAAAGTACACGTTTTGTTAAATTCATAGAGATTCGGAAACAACGATTCATCAGATACCCATCTCTTGCAAAGAATGGTGCAGTTCAATATGTTATTAAATCTAATGGGAGTATTAAAACGTGGAAAGGTAAGCCTATAAATAATGTGCAAATTATCAACACCTTGGTGAAGATGAAAAAATAAAATTTGTGCCGCGGCTGTAAATCTGTTATGCAAGCGTGCACGTCGTTCTGGTGTGTATAATTATCAGGTATTAGAAGTTCAGGCGAAATCACGATGAAAATGGAAGTAGTGAATTTGGTGCATGAAGACACACAGAGCGGGGTATGACCTGGCGTACCCGGCACCGATGTAGCCGGAAGTGACGACAGCTTCGCCTGGGCCTCGAAATAGACAAGTCAGATTGAATCTCTTGTCTCTGCCAGTTTGCACGTAATCCGAGAATTGGACTACTACGATGTTGGTCATCGTGTCGCCGTACTATGATTTAAAATATTTTTTTATAAGCTGCTTGTAAGTATTACAATTGAAGGAAAGTTTTTAAATATCAAGTATTAAGATACCCGCTGAGTGCCGCATTCAGGATATCCTTGGGCTCCGCTTATCCGGAGTACATTTACCGTACCGCCGTTTCCGCGGAAGAAACAGCGATCATAATATCCGTAAGTGTAAATTCTTCCGATAAATCCTTCTGGAGTTCTTAGTGTGAATTCCATACCGTCTTCGTTACAAACTTGACTCACTGAAAACAGAGAACACAGTCGATGAGAAATTTCAGTCACGGATATAAAATATTTCGAGTATTGTTGATATTGTCATACTTTTATCTTTAATTACTAAATTAATATATTTCAATATTACTGACGAAGGATCATTTTGCTCTCGGTAGGCATGCAAATTTTCAATCAATTCATATATGATGTCGTTTGAAATAGGCAATAGTTTAACGATGTAATTCTAGTGCGTATTCATTAAATTTTTCACATCAATACGGAAAATAGATCTCGACGGATAGATAGAAAATACACTGTATTTTAATTTTAGATCAACGTATGTCATATAACCGAGTAAATGGAGAATAGAGATTTTTCAAATTCTATCACAATGTGGTGCATAGGCTTTTTTAATGTCCGATCTGGGTAAGAAAAAGCTTTTAGACAGTAATATGCTTTATTTACTTGTGATTTATTTTAATTTTTTTTTGAAATTGACTTTCTTTATTTTTCACGCAACAACGAAGTTTAAAGCTCAGTTTAGTTTCACTTCGTAATTTTAAGAAAATCATTGTACACAAGATACGCGTTTGATTATAAGATGTGATTCCAGAAGCAAATTCGCTTTTTTACGAAACCCTATTAAAGGTAACAAATTTTTCTGGTCATAAGCGAAAGACGGCATAGCAAATATTTTCTTGAATTAGCTGAAAAGAAAGAGATTATACGTTTACGTATACCTTTTGTGTATCTGCCTTTACAATTTCATGCACGTGCGTGTCCTTAAAATTAAAAAAAAAAATCTTAATCTATCCCTTTCACAATATACTCACCATCAAGACATTCGCCATCGACACCCTGTCTACCATTGTTCCTCTCGTAAAAATCATAATCAGATCCACTGTCATAATATACAGGATTTCCCATATCCATGTCTCTGGAATCTCGGTCGCTTAATTCACAATTGTCACGTTCCGCCCCATAGGGCGCTGCGTACGGTCTATAGTTGAACGATCGGCACACAAAGTCTCGGGCGTCTGCACATTCCCTTTCGCACTGTGCCAAAGACGAAGCCGTTGTGTACCTTCTTACAAAAGGTTTCCGAACTCTTGTTCGGGCACCCACTTGTCGAAAATTATCTTGTTCGTCGCAACGGGAAAGTAGCGGCGGCCGACCAATAATTGGTCCACCATTATTTCCAAATGGACGAGAATGATAAATTCCTCCCTCGCCTATGTAACCGCCGCCACTAATACCACCTATACTATTACCATAACCACCGTCATAGTCATTTATGGGTCGAGCATGGCCGTACGGGAAACCGCTATAAAGGGGTCGCTCTCCGTATCCTTTCGTTCCGCGAATATCGTCATATTCGCCTGGATATAAGCCATTTCCTGGTAGGCCTGGATATCTAAAGACGAAGAAAATATGTTTTCAATTTTACTCGAAATAACTTACAGAAATGCTAATTGTTGTTTGTTTCAACAGGACTTACCGGTCTCGCGTGGGATAAGGATCTCTATCTGGGAATCTGTCGCTCACGGGATAACGATCAAGGGGTAGTCTACCCCCTCCCGGTCCTATGGGGTAACGATCAATATGGTCTTCCGGAAGAGGATACCGATCTAAGGTGGTAGGGTAACGATCTGGGCCAATTGGATATCTGTCTATAGGTCCTGGACCGCTAGGATAGCGACTTCCTTCGATTGGGAATCTATCCCCAATGGATCCTCCCCCAATGGGGTATCTATTGCTGCTAATTGGATATCGATCTCCTCTAGGTGGATATGGATCTCCATGAATAGGATAACGGTCACCGACTGGATACCGATCCGGACCACTTGGATAACGGTCACCTCCGATCGGGTATTGACCACTACCAGGATACCTGTCATCAGGATATCTATCACCTGGTATTGGGTAGTGATCGGGGTAACGATCACCTTTATCGCCAGGATAGCCTTTATCGTAGTCAGGATATCCTATTAATTAAAGATATAATTAATTTTCTTAGGAACTTTTCAAACTACTTATTTCTATTTTAAAATTCCTTTCTAAAAGCCACAATTAAAAAACGTAACGTTAAATCTACTATAATTAAGAATGAGTATTTTCTAACTGAACCATAATAATTCAATCTTCAAGAACAAGCAATGAGTAACTGTTAAGCGTGAATACGCATATACCTCGAGATTATTATTACGTAACTTAATGAAATTTCGGTTAAGTTATCATTCTCACAGAAATGTTTTAATGCAAGTAGATCACCGTTTGTTTGATGCAACATGATCTTACCTGGTCCACCAAGAGATGGTCTGCCTACATTGGTACCTTGGCCAAGAGGGTCCGGTCTGAGCATAGATCCGTCTCCGTCAAGGAATTGATCTGGAATCATATATTCAAAATTACATATGCATAGAATATCGTGATAGAGTCATTGCATGAACCACGCTTCGAGTGCTTGCACTTAAATAATGCTCTACACGCACTGCTGCGCAAGACACGAACCACAGTACTGTGAAATGAATACGTTTTTGTCTCAACAATTAGCATGTTATTGAATGACAATGGGGTGCTGATTATATCAGTCTCCGTATATTGACCTTGCCGTGTGACTTTTTTTTTTAAAGTTCATTACTAGCAAAATATCTAAAAATATATTATGAGAATATTTATATTCACAGAATATAAACATGTCAACGATGCAGTGTATTTTAAAACACGAGCAGTACATTGAATAGCATTGTTGCTATATGATTATGTATTTTAATGACATCGAGATATCGTGAGGTAAGAAAACTGTGTAATGGATTACTTGATGCTCAAAAAATAGAAGGAACTTACGCATTAAGTTCTCGTAGTAGTCATAGTCCGCGTCATAGATAATTCTGTGTCCATCGCGTTGATTGTATCGACTGAGGCGACAAGTATGAAAGTGTTCAGAGTAAACAGCACTTCTGCATTGGAAACTCGTTTGCCTGAGACATTCGTCGAGGCACTCGCTGAGGCTTCGTCCGGTGATTTCAGAAGGAAACTCGCCGCTGAGGCGTGAATTTCGGTAGCGCTGGAAGGCCGTGTCCGGTCGACGCCCGGGGGCGAAGAGGTGAGAGGTCACGCTGTTGTCTGGATATTCGGATCCTCGTGCTACGGCGGACGGATCTACATTACGTTAGTGATGACATGGGTCATCCATCGCTAGCTATTTACCAGGAATAAGTAATTCGTGGGACTCGACAACCCTCGCGAGAATTATAAAGGAGCATTTTTTTTTCATTACCCTCTTCTACCTTTATGAAAATTATGGCTGTTTTTAAGCCACTGTATGAGATAAGATTTGGTCTCGAATGACCTTCATTGTGAAATTTAACGTAATATTTATTCCTGGTTATAAAGGTAAGATTTTCGAATTTGCTTGTTTGATTTATACGATTTTTCCAAATGCATGATATGAATTTAGTTTTTATCATTTGTATTAAATATACACGCGATTATTCAGGACTATTGAACCATCTCAAGATCGTTCTGTCCAATTGATTTTTACTAATTCCCATGGTAGAACCATCTTCAGGTGGTTCGATAGTCCTGAATAACCTTTTTTTGGCTTACTCATGATTTAGTATGCTAAGCTTTAAGTGAGTGTTTACTGTCATAGAAAAACTTACGATTGTCTAGACAAACCAGATCGTAGAAGTGGTAGCTTGGGCTGCTGCTGATACCAATATCATCCTTTTGTGAAACTGAATCCTCTTCTGAAATTACGCACTGTCTCGTTTGCTCGTCGTATTCTACGCTCCGGCAAAAATACTTTTCTGCTCTTAGGCAAAGTGCCTGACATTCTTCGAGGGTTAGATTCGTGTAAATGTCAACCTCGAATGGACCACGGAGACGCTTGTTCTCTTCTTTGATAAAAACGGCTAAACCATCGCATCGGCGTTCCGCTGGAATTATATGCTTGTTTATATAAAAAAATTCATTTACTTCAGATTCTACGACACAAATCAGCTAATCTATTGGCTATGCGCGTACGTACGCAGATCCAATATTTGGGTATGTATTCCTGTGCACGTGCATTCACTATCAACGCCACTAATTTTGCTGGACGGCCTTTTTTTCTGGACTCTTTCTTCGCACGTGAACTGAAGTACATGTTTAGATATTTGATGTATGATATGATATGTGAATGATATTTTCGATTTAGTATTTTTTTAAAATTAGAAATCCATGTTTCAAGTATTTTTTGGAAAATACTATATACAGGGTGTTTTCTAAGCCCCGGTTAAGAGACATACCGTTAGATCCAGCGTGAAAAAATAAAAAAATTGGCGTAACAAAAATCAAAAATTTTAATTAGTTTATTAATTACTAAAGACTAAAGTAAGCCAATAATAAGCGCGTGAAAACTGGTAACTCCTCGTCAGTCTCCTCCCATTGGGGACAGCCAATCATTCATTTCCCCACAAAAGACATTTTACATTATTCTTTTGTTTATTTACGTTACTATATTGTTTATTTACGTTACTATATTTACGTATCCACCGGTCACTGTTTTTGTGGGGAAATGAATGATCGGCTGTCCCCAATGGGAGGAGATTGAGGAGGAGTTACCAGTTTTCACGCGCTTATTATTGGCTTACTTCAATCTTTAATAATTAATAAACTAATTAAAATTTTTGATTTTTGTCAACGCCAATATTTTTATTTTTTCACGCCGGATCTAACGGTATGTCTCTTGTGCGGGACTTAGGAAACACCCTGTATATGTAATCATAATGCGTAATTATGAAACAGTGAAAATATAATGTTTTATATGAACGACAGCTTATACGATTGATGCACTATAGCCATACCATTCAAACAAGTATTTTCCAAATAATCGGAATTCGGATTGTCCTCCAAAAGTTCCGGATGAGTTCTTCTCGTGAAACGACTCAAAGAACAACTTCTCAATGCTGCATCGTATGTCGCGGAGCGACAAACAAAACTAAACTCGTTCAGACACCTGTATTCGTTTACAAAGATAGGACCAAAATAAACAAAATAACCAAAATTTATATAAATACGTACTACACGTTCAAACTATTGATTCATTAGTTTCTACTATCATAATATTCCCACTCAAAATAATAATTTAATATCATACCTATCTTCACAATCCGTCCTGTTAGCTGCACTAACTTCCTTGAGATCGGTTAATGGTAATTTCAATTTTTTTCGTGGATGCCTTTCAAATACATATCGACGGTTCGGACAGTCTCTCTCTATACGATTTGCTATCGACACAAATAGTTGATTATATTAGTAAAGGTATTGTTCATTTTTTAAAAATATATTCATTGCGATAGTATAACAATTAATGGGTCATAGTCTATAATATATACTATACGTCGACTGTTTATTTTACCAATGTTATTCGTCCAGCAAGAAACATGAAAATACTTACACGTGAGACAGACTTCAGTGAAGTGGACGCTATTGGGTACTAGCATCAGATTTCCAATGCCCTCTGGCTGAGCTTGCTCTCTCGTTAGATAACAAGTGCTCTCCTCGTACTCGGCAGCACCACTGAACGATGCTATTCTACTTCCGGGTTGAAAATCGAAGCTCGTGCAAGCTCTCACGAGATTATTCGTTGCAGTTCTGTCTCTCAAACAAAGCTCTTGACATTTCTCCAGTACTCTGAATGGCGGCGCGGAATCTCTTACCTGGATAAATATACAAGGTCGTAGTAACACTCGGACAAAATATATTCAGTGGATATATCTATAAAGGCAAATATTTCTTTTGCATGCGCTCAACACAAGTATTAGTTTATTTTAAAAATATTCTATACTTACTACGTCATCGTCGAAACCTTGAAGTTGTTGATCCGGTAATCTCTCATAGACAACTCGACCCGATCCGCCATTACATGTCGTCTGGGCTGAAAAAGAATTTAATAAATTATTTTTGTAAAACTTTGTATATCTCTATGGTTTTCATAAAATCGAGGTTACTTCCTTTCAGTCGGATATGAATCAAAGTTCAACATAAAACGTTTTGATTTCATCTGGCTCGTACATCATAACTATCAATTGTACAGGGAGAGACCGATGCGCTGAATCACGCAATTTCGCAATCTCGTGACATCCTTTGATTTACATCCACGATGGGCTACAGGTAGTTTAGTTATTCGCGAAATTTTTTTGCTCATATAACCACCGATTTTTTTCATTATCGTCATCGTTAGCATCGGTATAAATATTTTTAACTTTAAAATCTGGATAAATTTATGCCAAATAAATTTTATGTCGATGAAAGTTATTGCTAATTAATATATTTCTTTTGACAGGATTATTTGCCGAGGATAAAAGTTTATGAACATTGTTGGTTTGTATTATGCCTGGCATTGGCAGCGTGGATTTTGAGATAGCGAAGCGGCTACAGGAAACCGGAAATTGCGTCATCACATTTTCATGAGGTTGATTCATGCGTGCCATTGTTCGGTATAATAGTTAGGTGATATATTCCCAAAAGTTGAACCTAGGATTCTATTCTGTATTATACTTCTGTATAGTTTTCACTTTCTTTTTTTATGCTCGAATGCTACAAATAAAAGTCGAATGGCATTAGTGAATTCTGAGAAAACTTTTAACCTCGGCAGAATTCTATTCGCATTTGTTCCAGATATATGCATTTTATGTGAATTCAATGCATATTGAAATTCTTAAAAGTAATTACACGATGACGTCGGTGAAATAGTACTGTGACTCGCGATATTATTAAATGCGTTCGTTTAGATCTTAGTAATGCAAAGTATTCAAACAGCGAATGCCTATGAGAAATACATAGTATATGAAATTTAAACATGGTTATTTTGCCATAAAACCATACTGATACTTGCCTTAATTATATAGCATTAAGGTTTTTAGCGTAAACTATATTATTATTTTGACAAGTAAATTCTGTTGTTTGAATAACAGGTTACACTACAGTCTGACTGAAACGTTTTCTACTACTTACTGTATTTGCTAAGCGTCAGTAGTACTACAGTAGACTTGAGATATCTTTTGAATTTGAAAGTAGAGCGCTAATGTTTAGTACAACTGAAGTATATTTTGAATTTTAAACAATTCTCTAAGATACAATTAACACATTGAATGTGTACGTTCTAATTGTTCAGGACGTATATATGTATGAGTAGAGTGTGTAGGTACTTTGAAAAAGTTCACACTTTGATCCTGAAAGCACTGCACTCTTATATGCCCATTTTAAAGTTAAATATTAGAACGATTTTGTTACAACTAATTAATAAACTTACCATTGGCGAGCATCTTTAGAATCGTAAGAACGGTGATAGCTTGAACCATACTGAACGTGTCATGAATTCTTTTCATTTTGAATGGTAGATTCTGGCGACACAATCAAGTGGTCATTTCACTTGTATCGAAGTGCTGAAAAAAAATATAATATATTTTAATATAATTGGCAAATATTTATTTACTAGACGTACGGAAATACAATTCCGAACATTTATTTTGATGGTTGCTATAAAATCAAGTTCATTTCATCGATTTAAGTAGTTTCATGCACCGAGTCATTAAAGTATTTGCGAGAGAAAATAGATGAAAAATAATCAAGCTGTGCTGTTCTTAAAATAAATAATTCTACACGAAATAGAGTCATGAAGAAATTATACGTACCACTAGGAAATTCATTTTCTTCTATTGAAATATTAAATAGTTAAGTATGCTTGAAACATCTTTTGAATTAATTTGTGCGATATCAAATAATTAGTTGTAAGCAATTTTAGTATATGTAAACTATATCGTGATTAGGTTGTACGTGGAATAGCGGTACTATCGCGAAAGGAATACGCGCTCGGAATTTGACTAAATCACTTGTTGCCTGGACGCGCACTGACCGAACTAATTTTTCACTGAACTGAATAAACCCAAGTTGAGTCGCACACGTACGCATGATAACTATCGAGTGTCCCCATCAGATTCCATGGGTTCGCATTTGCCGAACAATAGGGTAAAGCCTCGACATAACCTATGCCATGTTTCATAATTGCTTTGCAATTTCTCTTCTTCAGTGTTTCATGCAATACGCAATTTAGTCCCACAATAAATAAAAGAAGCACTGACCCCATATTACATTAATGCATTCGAAGAAGTGCATTGAATAATATTGTAGAATGCATTTGCTTGTATACATGTACCACATTTTTGAAAGACAATTTTATCTAGTACACAAATGATTCGTTCCATTTATTATTTTCAACAAAAAAAAAACAACAAAACGCGTTAAATGGACAATCAAGTATTTTTAAATGTGTCTACGTCGATTGTGAATATTTCAAACTATTTAGCAATAAGATAATTTATCTTTTATATGCGAAGCGTTGATTTACGGAAATAAAATTTTTAATTTAGATTGCGATTGAAATTTAGAAAAATCAGTATACTATTTAGAATCGAAGACATGAAAGTCCCTTTGCGTAATCTCATATTAGGTGATCGGTGTAATGATAACCAGCAACAGAGTTCCGTAGGGAAGATGGAACCACGCTCTGATGCCTTTAGGGGCATGTGTGAGTCTTTGACATTTGTATATGCGAAGATACGCGCGTGCACGTCTACGCACTGTGTGGAAGTGTTCAGGGTGAGTGCCTAGTAGGAATTCCATAACCCTTGTTCCAACATCACACTTATAACAAGAATTGGTACTGCGCAAGCGGTATTAAAAAAAAATTTTTAAATAAAATTTAAAACGAAACAAAATTTCAAATAATCCTTCCTTCAGAAAAATTTAACTTTTATCATAGGTTTCATTATCAATAGCTTTTATCAATAACTTGCATATCAGCGATAAGGTTAGGCTTGCAGTTTTTGGTTTTTTAAACAAAACATCAGCTACAGTTACTTGGTTCACTTTTAAGTGACAAACTTTCATCCCGTAAACGGTTAGATCGAATGGTCAAGATTTGTTTGACTGAAAAGCCGAACATAACCTCACTGGCCTGCGCCACTTGATAGAAGATTTATACACCAATAAATAACACTTGCGTTAAACGTCTCTAGTGTAATTAAGCGTAACCCACGTTCCACTGAGTAATTCATTGACCAAATGTGAACATTAATATTGAACGTTTGTATATTGTTCACGGTAGTGTGAGCTTTGGACAAGATTGCAATTATAGTTGTTCCAGGGTGCGAGGACAGCCGTCCCCTGTCACACATAGTTACTAACCACACGCATGCCTATTCAATTCCATTGCCACCTCCCCACTTTTGTATCCTTTTATTATATTCTTGTTTCGATTCTGAATGGTTTTCTCCCCACCACTCCCCGTCCCCTCCTCCGCCCCCCCCCATTTACTCTCTCTCTCTCTCCCTTTCTATCTTTCTATTTTTCTCTTTTACAAGCATGCGTTTTGGCATAGCTTGATGGACATCAGGTACGTTGCACAAATATACAGCAATTTGCATATGTCGCGTTCTCAATTAATGCTATGTATTCTGCCAATATCTCAAGTCGCCTGCACAAACATAATTAGGGTTTAGGTTAAGTAGAATTAAGAAAGGTCAGTTTTATAATATATTATAAAATTAATGGAAATAAATCGTCAATTTTTTTATTAGAATTTTGTATTATAATTTGAGTTTCGTTAAAATAGTCAAAAGTCATGTAAGGTACTATGAGTCAAAGAATTTGTAGGTAACGAACGAGTATATGGGCATATTTCATAAACCAGAATATTTATGGATATAAAAATGAAATTTCAGGTTTTTTTGCCGTTCGGTATACTCAATGTGCAAAGGGCGTTCTCATAATATCGGTAATCGGTTTTCACAGTAATGGCAAAATGACGCGATTGTGAAAAGGAAAGAGGGACTTTTGTGTACTTTTCAATGTTTTAATGTGCACGCAGCACGCACTGCACGATATTCTCATGCGTGATGCAGTTACTAGGCACATCTTACAATTAAACCGGAAACGGATGGATATTGTGTTGGGTGACGTTAACCGTCCAATAGCACGCAACGGATTTTCTTCTATTCCCAATACCTTGCATCATATTGCAAGGATTGCAGCTTTTGTGGAAAGTAAAGAATTCCATTCTTAAATATATCTTTTGCACATACGATTACAATTATATTTAGAGTTTTAAACTACTATATGTATGTAAACATGTTTAGAGCAATTTCGAGGCCATGCGGCACTCACAACGGCAATCCAATGTATTTTTTTTCTAAAAAAAAAAAACTAAACCTTGGAATATGTGACATTGAAATTCTAACATAATTTAACCTAACGAACTACTTCTTAGCCCATCACAACTCCAAGTGTCCAGCATAAAAATTTTTTTGGAAAATTCGGTGTGAGTGCCGCCAAACAGTCCTGGAAGTATGCGTTACGTATAGGATTTTTCCAGCTCTGGAAAATACCAAATGTCCTGGAAACTGCCAATACGCAAGAAAAAAAGTCATGGAAACTGCCTTTTAACATATTTATCCTGTGATATTAAAAGTCTTGTGATTTTTTTTTTCTTCAAATTTTGGAATATTTCTCGTTATATATTTTAATCGATTACCTTGTGTCTATCAAATTTATATTCCTAATTTAAAATGAGATGATGCAATACAAGTTGTATAGTACATACGTTCATGAGCAAAATGTATTTTAGAGGGGCCATTTTCATATGAATTACAATGTAAATGAGTCCCTTAGACGTTGTACTTCATTTATGGCTTGAGAATGTATGTTCTATCCGTTAAAATCATTAACCTTTAGAAGATGGATGGATTTTTTATTGATTACTCCAGTTTTAGATTTGGAACTTTAATATATACATTAAAATGATACTTCGAAAAAACATGAAACCGATAACGAGCCGAAAAATCGGATTTCCGTCTTCTAGAGGTTCATTAGATTCATACTATTTTTTCGTTTCAATTCTGGTCTAGAGTCCAGCTCATTCACAATTGAGTGACTCGTAAAAAATATGTAAGCAAAGTTATTTTTACATAACTATTTTTCCATATCGACAGTTTAAGTTTCGTTACTACAAACAGTAGCAGCTGCAGCGAATTTTAGCTGTTTTGTAGACGTGCAGTAAAATTGCATTGACGAGATTTTAAGTGCTTTCAGAAAGAGAAATCGTTGATCTACGTCAATCGGAAAAGTAAGAAATATTAATAAAAATATTAAAAACGCAACTCACGCCCTTCAAAGACCGTGCAATGATTCCAGTGCATATAACGAAACGTTATCTTAATTTTATCTTAATTCACATTCTTTATCATTTAATTCAGTGAAATGTGCAAAAATATGTTTATCAAGTAACTCAACGATTTATCGAAAAAGCCTTCACTATATTTTTTTCGCGAATTTAGCAATACATAATTCTCACGAGTGTAAATGAAACTAGGAGTGAGAAGCTGAAGTCGTAAACAAAATTACGATTACCCCATTGTATAAAAAAAAAAAAATAGAAATAGGATAAAATAAATAATAAAAAAGAAACTTACTTTATAAATAGTTAGTCGTCAAGAAAACTGGCTGATTTTCAATGAAATTGGAGATGGCCGTGTCCTTGTCTTATTTGTAACGAAGTATAGGGTAAAATAAAAAAAAGTCTGGTGCGAAAGTATAAATGATGGCAACAGGTGCCAATGGAGGGCACGTCCAACGCGAATGGCACCTGTAATCAAACTGGATGAAAATCGATCCGCTGAAAATAGTAGGATGCATGCAAGTGGCAATCGCAGGCCATAGGGGGTAACGCGCATCAAATTATGCTGTACGGGTGTAAGAGTACAGTACGTGCTCCCTTGGGCCCCACCATCCAGCTCCCTCCGTAGCGTCATGAGTTCTGGCCTTGCGCGTACCGGAAGTACCACTATTGTTCTCGGTTTCCGCGGGGCATCCGGGAAAACGCATAACTTCGACGAGTCGCCCGATGGCGACTGACCGTCATGGCGGAACCATGGATTAGAGAATTCAAACGGACGTGGGGCCAGCTAATATTTTATTTTGTCATGTGAAAAAATGGACTATACGTATAGAAATTTCAAACTATAAATCTTGATTTTGCCAACAACGTCACTTTCAAAATATATTATTTAACAATCTTCAAGTCGATTAATTATTTGATAAACTTCTTATCAATAAATATATCAATTTTATGAATTCAAGAACATCCATGAAGTTTGTAATGCTTTTACTCGATTTTGTGTACTACTGAAATTGCTGAAATCAAGGGAGTCGCGAAAAGTTTTCGATCTGAATGAATTTTGAATTTTGAATTTTGAACCACGACACTCGCGGATTTGATACAATTTTCCGACAGTCTCTATTCTATCTCGTTCCCAGCAGAATTGGTCACCCGTATCTGTGGGTTAATGAACTACTGGAATCCATTGAATTCGGCATTCTATTGGAACTCCGATGATTGCCCTCATGAACTGTTAGGAAAATGATGCCGTTTGTACTGTAAAAAATTTGGTGTTAAAAATAACACTAATTCAATACCACCTCGTATTCTGTATAAGTTCACACAGTTTTCAGCGTTGATCTGCGTGGTTCAAAATATGGTGTTGAAAAAGTGTCAAAAATTATAAGACCATTGATACGTCCAATCGATGTGTAGTATGCAATTAACACGTGCGAGTGTTCAACCATATCACATCGGTTGATGTACGAACAGTATATATTTTCTCTAAAAATGTTGTTAATATAGATTAAAATGCACAAATAATGCAATCGGCATAATTGTATGTAAAAAAAAATGGGCGCGTGTGTATTCATGACTGTTAGGTACCCATCTATTTGTAGGGCTGGGAGCGGGATGCTTATAGTGAGGAGTGTGACACCTCGCCCACTGAGCCACCAGCTCAATTTGTAAATGTTTAAAATTAGTTACGAATTAGACTCAACAATATTCGTATATATGAAA